TGAAAATATTGGATATTCTGTGCCAGAGCTGCATACAGATCTGTATATTAGTTACTAGCTGTCTGCAGCTCTTTATTCCCCTTTGAAAAGATAGTTTTGAAAAACAGGGCATTATTGGAGCATGGAACTGATTTGCTAGATTATGGCAAGGGAAGGGAAGAAGCCCAACCTTTGTATTTGCAGTAGGCTTTCAAAAAATAAAGACTGGGTGCAGGTACATCTGGATTAACTTTGGATATTTCCATTTCAGTCGGCTACATACTCGGTCTAGGAGACAGGCATGTACAGAATATTCTGTTAGATGAAGAAAGTGCAGAACTCGTACACATTGATCTAGGTATGTACCAAACAAAGGAATCAAATGCTTAGATTTTGATGTAAGTCCCATTCAAGCATTATAAAGACAGGAGGGTTCATCATTCTGACTAACTCTGCCCTTATCAACCTCTTTCTCCTGTGTAATTGAATGGCTGTCTGAAGAGGAAAAGCCTCTCATATGAAATTGTGCATCATTGCTTGTACTAAGGCTTTTTGCCTGAAGGATGAAGATATCCCATGGACAATATTGATGTAAGAGGGGGGGGGGGCCTCTCAGTTTCTAAACATCCGCTTAGGGCTTTACCATTGATTGAGTCATGGAGAAAGGAACAGAGTAACATGATAAAAGAATGAAGTAAAAAAATACCATGAACTGCAGAAACATTGACTAGATTGGTTATATTCTTGCCCCTGTTTTTGAAAAGACACAAGTAGTACTCAATTTACAATGCCAGTTGGGGACAGAATTTCCATCCCTGAGCAGTGTAGTTGTAAAGCACAATTGCATTGTTTACTGACAGCAATCCTTGCACTCCTAGTTGCTGTTGTCAATTGAATCTCATAGTTATTAGATGAGGCAACTTCCTACCAGCTTCTCACATCCAAATCAGTGGGCAAGCTGACAGAAAGTTGTAAGACCCAGGGCGGCAGGGAAGGTAAGTGGCTGCTGCCAGGTGCAGAAAGACCCAAAGATGCCAGGGAGATGCCGTGTGGGTTGGGGAAGGGGCACGGGTGGCAGGGAGATGCAGCAAGGATCCAGGGGTGGGAATCCGGAGGGCCTGGGAGGGTGCGTGAATGTGGGAGCTTTGCCCCCTTGACTTGACCTTCCCTGAAAACCTCCCCATTGACTTTCTGGGGAAGCTGGTAGGAAAGGTCACAAACGGTGATCACGTGATCAAGGGGCAGTGCAATCAGTTGTAACTGCAAACCTGTTGCCAAGCACCCATATTGTGATCACATGTCCACAGGGATGCTGGGACACTGGAACTCAAAGACCAGTTATAACCAACAACATTACTTTGAATGATTGCTAAATGAATGGAGGACTCCCTGTAATTTAATAATCACTAAAGCAGTGATGGCGAATCTTTTAGAGACCGAGTGCCCAAACTGCAACCCAAAACCCACTTATGCATCATCGGGTGCTGGGTGGGTGTGGCCCATTGGGTGGGCGTGGCTATGGTGGTAACGGCAGACTGGGTGGGACTAAAAAGTTCAATCAATCAATTCCAACTTTGCAAGATCTTTTTTTTTTCTGCGAGAAGTTGAAATTGATTGATTGAACCTTTTTTTTTTTTTGCGCACGGCGGCAGAGGCCTAAAGCAAAAAGATTTTAGAAAACCCAGCTGAAGGCCTAGGACTGGGGCGAAGGCACATGTGCCCACAAAGAGGGCTCTGAATGCCGCCTCTGGCACCTGTGCCATAGGTTCGCCACCACTGCACTAAAGTATGTATTGTTACCTCATTGCTGCAATCAACTGTATTTCCTGCCTTTTAAAAATATATATTCTAATGCTGCATTGGTACACAAGGGTGTTTAATCCAGTGATCTTCGACTTCTGCTTTCTTTTCTCCACTAGGAGTTGCTTTTGAGCAGGGCAAAATCCTTCCTACTCCAGAGACTGTACCTTTTAGGCTAACAAGAGACGTAGTGGATGGCATGGGCATTGCTGGTGTTGAGGGGGTCTTCAGGAGGTATGTTACCCCTTTCAAAGCATTTTAGCATCATGTATGCCAGAATTTCTGTTTTTACAGTTTGGGAGATTGAGTTGGTAAGAACTGTTTTCATTTATAAAAATGTGACCTGCGTTGAGCCGATTGTAAACTTTATTACTACCTTGAAAATTACATTGTAATGTTTTCTATAAAAGTTAAAATAGAAACTGGCTTTGACATTATATTCTGTTTGGAAATCATTTAGATGCTGTGAAAAAACCATGAATGTTATGAGAAATTCTCAAGAAGCCCTTCTGACTATTGTAGAAGTAAGTATTTCTTGGCTAAATATAAAACATTGTAAGTCAGTGTTATATTAAATACTCTTTGGTGTGGTTTGGACTATTATACTCCCTATTTATTATTTTGCCTGCCAAAAGACAACTTAGTTGGTAAGTAGCTTAAAAATTCTGATTCCTCCTATCTCAATGAATATGGAAATGGAGGCAATATACAAATAGTGCATTATTACTGAAACATGCTAGTTATTTTGAATTCATGTTCCAATAAAGCAAACTTATAATATTAGACTGACATTCAGTCATTTTAACACAAAGTAAAAGAATAAAGCAGTAAGCCAACCTGGAAAGGCATTCAGAAAGCTCTTCATGTTGTATTGCTTTGGACCTGATAATACAAAGATATGGCAAACAGCAACATAGGCACAGACTCCAGGAAACAGGTAATAGTTTATAAATTTACTATGAATCATGTGGGAACTTTGAATTAAGTGCTAAGGGTCTGTCCATCCATCTAAATTGCTAGGCAATGGATAAGTTGAAGCACAAGGAGAGAGCAGTATTTGGGGGTATTGGGGATATAAGAACATGTGCAATGGCTTGCTGGATCAGACTTCTGCCCATCTAGTTCAGCAGTCTGTTCTTAACAGTAGCTACCCAACTGCCAACAAAGCCTACTAGTCACCAGCAAATGGCCTTCAAAGGCAGTCACATTGCCATCAAAGATGACAGCCCTTGATCACCATGACTCTAATAAAGTGGCACAACCTTTTTTTGAAACAAGCTATGCTGGTTGCCAGCAGCACATTTCAAAGTAACAACTTCTTAAGTGGAATTATGTGTTGTGTAGAAAAATATTTATCAATTGTTGGTTTGGGAGGGAGTTGCAGTCTCCTTTTCAGAACCCAGTTTCTGTACTCCCAAAATAAACAAAAAGTCCATGAACTTCACAGCCATAAGATCTTTGAATGAGCATTCTTCTTCCTGTCAGTCAACAGAATAAGAGCCAATAACAAAATATAACACTTGGGATTGCAGATTGATGTAACATTATCTCTATTTATTTGACTTGGCTATTTGGGGAAATCAGAGTTCAGCAGTTGAATTTATGGGTTGAGCAATTCTAAATTTGGCCTAGAATGCCCATTTATAAATTATGCTACACAGATAAAACTAATACATTGTTCTGAGAGATGGGCAGTGGAAAGCTCTTTTCAGAAACATAATTGTGTCTCCTTTGATATTTAGGTTCTTCTATATGACCCTCTGTTTGACTGGACCATGAATCCTTTGAAAGCTTTATATCTGCAGCAAAGGTCGGAAGATGAAGCTGATGTCAACTCCAATTTCAGTAGTGCTGATCAAGGATGTAACAAAAAATCAAAGTAAGGACAAATTTGTACTATTATTTTGTATTTTTGTATTTATTAGTATCTGTATGCTTCCTAAAACCCTTGTTTCCTTCTCAGTAATGAAAACCAGTTGTCCAACAAAGTGGCAGAGCGTGTCTTGATACGACTTCAGGAGAAACTTAAAGGAATGGAAGAAGGTACAGTACTCAGCGTGGCCGGCCAGGTGAACTTCCTCATACAGCAAGCCATGGACCCCAAAAATCTTAGCCGCCTCTTCCCAGGATGGAAACCATGGGTATGAAAATAACTATAAAGAATTTTCAGAAGCTGTTAGATAACTAAGTAAAATAGAATCTAAAAATATTATATGGAAACTGTTGAATCAAAAAGTATTACTGTATTGCGCTTATTCCAGTGTAATGAAAGCAATATCAGTGTTGTACTGTAAGCCCTGCCCCTTTTTTATACGTATTTATAAAGATCCTGTGGATGTCCCAGAAGGATTTGTCTTTTGCTTGGATTGGTATAACTAGGAACAGGGCTTCCTGGTCTTATTCCCCCAGACACGAATTTCAGGAAATTAACAATATTACAAATTGCTTTAACAGAAGTAAAATCTTTTTTCCATAAGCCCCACTCCTTGTTTGGTTTAAGAATATTACTATAGCATAGTAGTTCTTATTGCTGCTCTGCTTAAAATGATCAAACTGACATGAAGCCTGTTACTATAATATAGTCACCTTGCCTTTCTCCTAGACAAGACAAGAATGTACTCAAGATAAAAACATGCATTATCCATGCATGTTGATGATGCTGTGCATCCTGCTGTATGAATATTTAGGAATTTCTGATTTATAATAATATATAAAGTTGTAAGTTTGTTTATATATAATGTATGTGTGGTTCTGAAGGCATTTCAAAAGAAAAGTAAGAAATCAATAACATGTAGAATCAGAAATAACTGTATAGTGCTACATAGTGCATTTCTTTTCATTATTACTAAAGAGTGCAGTTCTTTGGCTTGACAAGCAAATTGGCATATCTATCCACTTTATGCTATAGTACCGGGCGGGGGGATTTCCCTTTTTTTTTTTTTTTTTTTTTTTTTACAAATAAACATGGATATAGATTTCTTACAAACAGAATAATTCCATTAAAAAAATTTAGTTTAAGCTAGCAAGAAATTCCTGTATTCGGCCAGTACAGTAATTTTGTTCTATATCATGGAAAGAGTAGCCTTATTCTACATTTCATTATTGATTAAATTTAGTTCAGTAATAAGCTAATCCTATTTGTTATAACTTGTATGTGCACTTTGAAACCTGGAAGAAGTTACTGAAGGAAGTTTATGAATTATATTGTAAACACTGTTATGGGCATATGCTTTTTTTTTTTTTTTTTTGAGAATTCATGCACTATGCATGTGGAAGTATTTTTTATTTGCTCTGCATTAGACTCTACTATTTGTGTATTGAAATACAGAGGTGCCCCAAAGTGCCTTTTTAAATGTACAATAACGCCAAATTCTTTTGAACATGCATTTTTCTTCATATCTACTTATTATAATTCATTTTTGCACAAAGCCATAGTGAACTATAGAACTGCAAGAATTTTGTCTACTTGCCTGTAAATTGATATGTGGAAATTGTATTCATATTGAGACTGACAAATGCGAAAGCTTTTTCAATAAACTCTTGAATGCTCAAATATTCCTGCTACTGATTTTTATTAATTTATTTAAATGCTTTTTATACATACATACATACATACATACATACATACATACATACATATATATATAGAAACATTTCAATGAAAAGCAATGTTTTTATAACTTTCATTGTTGCATGGGAAATTTTCTCAATTGTAAGGCAAACATAAGCATGCTGAATACATACATTCATACATGTGTACAATACAATACATTTTCTGAGAATCCATAGGAGTTTTATGCTACAGAATGGTAACCTGGTCATGAAATGAAATCAGATTAGAACGAGACTTTCAACCACATACTACGGTACTCCGTAAATTTTTATATTCATTTTGTCTACTTCTAACGTCAATCGGTGCCACCTTTAAACTGTAAATTTTGATAATTCGTTTCCCACTCCCCTATGAATGAGAAATGGTTCATTGACTTTGGAAACCCCGATCTTTTAATTAACATTCCAACTATGATTTCCCTGGTAATGGCTAAGCACAGAAATGCATGGTCACTCAGGTTATTTATAGATTGATGCTAAACCTCAGCAGGGAACTCTTTCTGCCCTTATGTGATTGTGTCATTTCCACATCCTTGCTCACTTATATATAATACCTTAGATTTGCCAAAATCAAAATAATTAAAAATTGAAAATAAATCTTGATGAATATCACAACAGGCAAGTCATCTATCACAAAATAAGCTCACTACAAAACTGAACAAATTTAATGTTCATTACATTTTATGTTAGGGCACATTAGCTTCACAAATGCATAGATTCCATCTTTTTATACCGTGTTTTTATTTTTTTGTCTTCTGGAGCTTTATGTTGATAACTGTTGTGACTACTGAACGTTCACTTGTCAGATAGATTATTTTTTCTTCTTCAAGTGAGATTGCATTATTTCTTGAATCTTGTTTGGTATCAATTCATAAATGTTATCTTGTTGAGTAAACCGGAAAGCTAAAGATAAACATATACATGAAGAATATTTATACAAGAAAACCAAATATTTTATAATAATACAAATATATTTTTAAACCATTTATAATGGAAAACTGAATTCAACGTATTTGTTCATAGATAATATTGCATGATAGTAACACAAAGTGTAACTCCCCTGCAAACCTAGAAGGCACTAAATTAGAAACATTAGTTTTCAATTCAGTTCAAATTTACCAAATTCAGATTCATCCTTGAATTATTAAATAATGTTGGATAGGTATAATCTTTTTTAAAGAGTTTATTTTCTACAATAACATACAAACTGGCACATTTGCATCTGCAGTATTATAATTTAGCTCTCTCAAATTGTATTCTATTGTCTATTTTTAGGGATGAGGTTACAGAACACTACACACTTCTTGACCTGTCTACCTATCGAGTCCTTACCAAGGACCTGGGATAGGCAGATGTAGATGTTTGATGGTATTACAGATATTGTTGCAGAATGGAAGCAGTTCCTAGTAAGGCCACCTTTTGCAATTGACTAATGGCAAATTTGTCAATGCAAATTGTGTTCAAGTGATGCTCCAGTTGTTTTGGGATTGCACCCAAGGCACCTATTACTATTGATACTACCCTTGCTTGCCTTTGTCTTTCTGTTTCTATTTGTAAGTCTTTGTATTTTGTTATCTTCTCCAGTCCTTTCTCGTCTATTCTGCTGTCTCCAGGCGCTGCCACGTCCACTATCCAGACTTTTTTGTCTTTCTTATTGTTAAGTCCTGGGTGTTATGTTGCAGGTGCTTGTCTGTTTGAATTCTGAAGTCCCAGAGCAGTTTAATTTTCTATGACTTTCTCTATTTTATGGTCCCACCAGTTCTTGCTTATAAGCAAATTATATTTCTTGCAGATCTTCCAATGCACCATTGTTGCTACTTTGTCATGCCGCTGCTTGTAGTCAGTCTGTACAATTTTCTTGCAGCAACTTACCAGGTGGTCCACTGTTTCTTCAGCTTCTTTGCATAGGCGGCACTTACTCTCTGTTGCTGTCTTCTCAATTTTGACTTTGTATGCATTTGTCCTTAAGGCTTGGTCTTGTGCAGCCAGAATTAGTCCCTCGTCTCTTTCTTCAATTTTCCTGCTCTTAGCCATTGCCAGGTCTTGTTATTATCTGCTTTCCCAGCTATTTTTTTAATGTACTGGCCATGTAGTGCTTTTGTCTTCCCATGCCTCTATTCTGTTCTTCATTTGGTCTTTCTTGTAGGCCAGTTTGGTCTCTCCAGTAGTCACTAAACCTTCCTGATATACTAATTTCATCATTATCCTTCAGATATTCTTCCAGAGCCATTTTTTCTTCTTCAACCATCTGACGTACTTGCAGCATTCCACACCCACCTATTTGCCTTGGTAGATAAAGTCTGTCAACATCACTGTGTGGATGAAGAGCATGATTCATTGTCATTATTTTTCTGGTCTTCCTATCCATTGCTTTTAGTTCTGCTTGAGTCCAGTCCACTATTCCAGCTGTGTATCTAATGACTGGAATTGCCCAGGTGTTGATTGCCTTCATGTTATTTCCTCCAATGAGTTTGGACTTTTAGCTCTTCTTCACTCTCTTCATATATTCACCTCTAATCTTTTTCTTGACTTCAGTGTGCTTGATGTTGTCAGCTTGAAGGATACCCAAATATTTGTAGTAATCTTCCTCATCCAGACTCTTAATGTTATTCTCGTGGGGCATCTTGATTCCTTCAGTTTTGACTATTTTTCCTTGTTTCATAGTAAGTGTGGGACATTTGTCCAAGTCAAACTCCATTGCAATATCTTGGCTATATATACGAACAGTGTTGAGCAGTGATTCTATTTCAGATGATGTTTTTCAAACAGCTTCAGATCATCCATGTAAAGGAAGTGGAATAGTCTGGCAGATGTTTTTGATATTTGATAGTCAGGTCCTGAGTTATTCAGTATTGTTGACAGAGGAAACACTGCAATAACAAATAGCGTGATAATGAATCTCCTTGAAATATTTCTCTTTTGATATTAACCTCTCACCATTGATCTGCAACTGTGTCTTCCATTGTGCCATCGATCTTTGCACAAATTTTCTGATGTTTCTACTAACTCCTGTTATTTCTAGGCACTTGATTATCCAGTCATGTGACAGAGAGTCAAATGCCTTTTTGTAGTCAATCCATGCCACATTCAGGTTGGTCTTCCTTTTCTTGCAGTTTTCCAAGATCATTTTGTCTGTTAGGAGTTGATCTTTTGTTCCTCTGCTATTGGGGCGGTTTCCTTTCTGCTCCAGTGAAAAGAGATTGTTTTCAACTAGATGCTGTTGTACTGCATCAGCTACCACATGTTAGCAATTGAAAGTTGTTGGTAAGCAGATAATTGGCCTGTAGTTGCCTGGTGTTGCCCCTTTTGCTGAATTTTTCATTATTAGGTAGGTTTTCCCAGCTGCTAGCCACTTTTCAATTTGGCAATGAGTGGGTATATAACAGTTAGAAGTTTCAACCAAAACCCATGCAGTTCATCTTCACCTGGTGCTGACCAATTTTTGATCTTCCTTACTCTTTTTTCTACCATTTTTCTTGTTATTACTATTTCTTTCATTTCAACTTCTGTTTTATTTGCATCCACCTTTTTTAACCAAACCGCATCCTTATTGTATTTCTTTGGGTTATCCCATATCTGCTTCCAGAACTGCACAGTTTCTTCCTTGTTAGGTACTGACTGATTCACTGCAGTTTCTCCATTGATGGATTGGTAGAAACGTTTCTGATTGGATTGAAATTGGAGGTTCTGCCTATAATTTGCAATTCGAGCTTCATATCTACTGATTTTCCTGGCTATAGCTGTTATTTGCTGCTTTATTATTTCCAGTGCTTCCTTAATCTTTCTTGTCTCTAAGTGGTATTTCTTGATTAGGTATTCTTTAGTCTTCTTGTTTTTCAGCTTCTTTTCTTTCATCTGTTCTAGCTTACTTGCATGTGACCTTAACTTGCTTATTTTCTAGTTTAACCTTCCATTTTTGTGGTGCACTGTTTGTTTTTCTTCTTTGTTGATTTTGCATCCCAAGTATTCAGTTATAACTGCAGCTGTGCTGTACATTAGTTGGTTTGCTTCTTGTGGTGAATTGGTGCTTATACTTGATATTGCAGTATTTGCCTCTTTTAATGCTTGAGCTAGCTGTTTCTTTGGAACAAGCTTTAATGCAGGCAGCCTTATTCTGTTGTTTTTGTGCTGTTCTAGATGCTCAGTTATTCTGTTTCAATTATTTTATTTCTTTAGTTAGAGGGCTTTGTTCTTCCTGAGGAAGAGGGGCCTGGTTTCCAAATGAGAACAGTTGTATATCTCTGCCAGATTCATTCACTGCTAACTCCCCCTGGTTTGCCTCTACATTCTGAATTACTTCTGGCAAGGCTTTGATTTCTTTGCCCTGAGTAAACCTTTGCAGTTCGTCCAGTTCTTTTTCTGTGAATACTTTATTTCGTATTATAAATCGGCGTTGACCTGCTAGTCTCTGTTCTGTTATTTCTGATTCTGGATGTTGTTCTTTCCAGAACTGGTGCATTCGTTTTAGATATCCTCTTCTTGTTGGATTTGATCTGTAATAACAGATCATTATTTCTTTGTTTTCAATCACTGTATTTGCGATGGGTAAACACCTTTTCTTCCAGTAGTTCTGCAGCTGCTGGCCCTGGTTGTTCGGCCAACAGTCCTGAGTATGTAACCCATTTTTCACCAGATATCCAAGAACTCCAACATCTAGCATGGACCTTGTTAACTCGGGCGACATCTGAGCCAATACGGCTTTCTGAAATTTACATCTCACCATATTTTTTATGAGAGAGACACTCTTTGTCTGACTCCTCTGATGAGACCTGTCCAGTATGGTTGAACATCTGGATAGCTCTCATCTTCCTCAGAGTACACAAGCCCCACAACCACATCAAGGTAGTGCCTTACTGGGGATGATCATCATCATCATCATTAATAATAATCATCATCATCTTGCAACATGTCATACTGTTGGAAATTTTAATTCTTACCAAACTGACTTCACATATTTGATTAGGCCTAGAAATTTGCTTCTCTAGAAATAATGAAAGACTCCAGTATTATATTTTTCTGCATTTGTAAAATCCACATATAGTTTAGATTAGAACCTCTTAAAGAAATATATTTGAAATTTTCACATAGCAAATCCCTCAAAATAAATTATAACTAACAGGAGTCCCCAACCCCCAGTTCATGGACTGGCACCGGAAACTGAGTCACGCAAACAAGGAAAGCCCCGTCTGCAGATCCAGACAGCATGTGAAGCCACGACCCCTCTCAGCCGCGGAAAAAACTCTCTATGGAACCGGTTCCTGGTGCCCAAAAGGTTGGGGGCCACTAATAACTAAGATCCAATTCATGTATTATATGATCAGCATGGCTACCAATGCAATTCCAATTCACACAATTTGTTTTAATTCACTGTTTACAGAATACGAATTAGTTATGCCATAATTTTTGTTAAATTAATAAACTAAATTAATTAAAATTTTAATTAACCAAAGAGTTGCCTCCATAACCTTAAACACCTAATTCTACAGAGAGGCATAAGAATTATGCATCTGTATGAGATTATAACACGAGCTGCTCTGTCACCGTCACGTGTCAACTGAGTCTCATGTGTTGCAAAAGTCTTAATTACCCATGCAGTTTACGATCCAATGCTCTTATTTTAAGATTAAAATTACATGAAGATTGACCAGCAAAAGTTTTACCTTGAAAACTTTCTGAAGTCTTGCTTGTTCCAACTTCTTTCCATAGTTTAACATATCTAGGTAAACAATAAGCACAGTGAATAAAATGGAACAGTAATAACCAAATTGCAATGCATACTTTAAAGCATCTCTCTCTCTCTCTCTCTCTCTCTCTCTCTCTCTCTCTCTTTCATACGTGTGCGGACACACACATATTTTTTAATCTCCCAACTTTTGCCAAATTGCAAAAACAACCAAGGTAAAACAATAAAAACAACAAGAGGTGCAAGAGATGTTACAGAAAAGCTTTTATTAAATAATTTCCTATATTACTGCTTTTCTCTCTCTCTCATATACTTTGTGATTTGATTGGTGTCTGCATCAGAGAGAAAGATAGAAGAGAGTAGATGTGACTTAATGACTTAGATTAACTTATTAATATAAATTGCCACTAGAGATCAAAAGCTAAAATTGATAATTTTAAAACAATAAGATTTAGAAAAGTAATGAAAGGTGAACTTTAAAACCATTACTCGTCATAATTCAATGCATTTGTCCACTTTAACATTTCATCTACTTCCCATTCCATCACTTGATCTATTCCTTCCTTCTCCAGGGACTTGATTAGCCCTTCTGTTGCTCTCTGAATTAAAACAATTGCCTCAGGATTCTCTGTTTTAACCTGCAGATTTTCTCCAAAATACCTAGAAAATAGAAATATGTATTTTCATTCTTAACAGTTACAGCAGTCGCATTGAATATTATTATTATAATTAAATTGATTTGCACCCATCTCTCAGTTTGAGGCAACTATATGTCCTTCTCCTCCCTTTCAAGGTAAGCAATATTTTTCAAAAGGCAGAAAAAGAGGAAGAAACAAAAATTAATAGAATTAGTTTGATAGATTAATAGAAATTAATAGAGCTGGTATGGTCTAGAGCAGTGCTTCTCAACGTTTGTGTGACGGCGACCCCCGTCACACAAACGTGCCGCTCATGTGCGGCGGCGGCCCCATGCGTGGCGCGGCGCTGCACGCATGCACGGCGGCGCCCCCATGTGCGGCGCACATGCGCGGCGGCGCTCCCCGAGGGGGAAAAATGGCGGATCGCCTTGTTTGGCGACCCCCGAGAAATGGTCGATCGACCCCAAATAGGGTCGCGACCCATAGGTTGAGAACCGCTAGTCTAGAGAACCAGGCTGAACTAGGGGTTAAGGCACTAGTTGGAAAGTGGGAGAGTTTGAGTTCAAGACTTGCCTTAGCCATTCACTTCCATCTGCCCAAAGGGACATAGAGTCATTTTAACTTTTTTCAACAAATACTGATTCCTTGCAACAAATTGTGGTGCCCAATTCTTTTTTATTGCCATTAGCATTTCTCAAAATTTCTACACTTTCTCCTCTATAGTAATAATTAATCTTTTGTCATTTATGGATAATTTTAATCCATTTTGCCTGGAAGCACAACTCTCTTGACTACAGTAAACTTCATATCCATATTTACTACATTATACAACCTAACATTTGTTGCAAATCATTTGTGTTTCAGCCAACAAAACAGCTTCATCTGCATAGAAAAATACACATTTCCAAATAAAATATCTCTAACATCATCCCAAGCAGTGCAAAAACATAAAACAACCAAGGTGACATTATATATCACTGGCTTACTCCTTATTCAATATTAAACCTATTTCCTAACCTTTCTGTTTATTTTCACATGTGCTTTCCTTCCCTCATATATTGTTCTTACTGCGTTTGATAATAATTTCCAAATAATTTCCAATTTGTACAAAACAAGGCTATTCATGTTTTATTTAACTCAACAAAGCTACGTGATAAATTTACTTTATCACACTCATATTTTTTCCAAAAACCTACAGAAGGCAAAACACTTTCCTGTACTTCCCTTGCTCAATATAAAACTTCTCATATTTTGCCCATTGTTATTTCTCACATCCTTTTTGATCAAAATTCTTCCAAATACCTTCACTGGCACATAATAAACTAATTCCCTTAGAGTTTTTGTATTAATTGTGGTGCTTTCCTTTGTAGAGCGTACAATGACCAGGCACAGGTGCAGTTTACACAGATACCTTACAAGTTGCACAATCATTTGGTAAGAAAATCAAATCTACATTTAATACTTCTTTTGCTATGTCATGGAGAGCACTGTTTCTCAAAGGTAGCAACTCTAAACACGGCTGGGTGGAATTCTGGAAATTGAACTCTACGCATCATAAAGTTGCCAAGTCAAATCAATGGGAAACCAGCAGGAAATCACAAGTGGTGGTAATACAAGGTCTTCACTTATTGACCCATGTAGTTCTTGCTAAATGATGGTAACCAGGACTACCTGAACTGCCAGCGCTAAGTGGCACAGCCATTTATTTATTTTCCATTTATGACTGTTGCTTAATGAAATTTTCAGTACCAATTAGCACTGTTAAGCTAAACTTGTTTGGGTAGTCCTCGACTAATAGCCACAATCGTGATCAAAATTTCTATTGTTAAGCAAGGCAATTGTTAAGTAAATCACACACAATTTTATAACCTTTTTTGCCATGGTTATTAAGTGAATCACTTGCAGTTGCTAATGACATGATTGTTAAGCAATTCTGCTTGACACTGACTCTGCTTGTCAGTGTCATATGACCCCAGGACACTGCAACTGGGACACTGCTACCATCATAAATACGTGCAAATTGGCAAGCACCCAAATTTTGATTACGTGACTGTGGGGATACTGTGACAGTTATAAGTGCAAGTACCAGTTGTAAGTCACTTTTTCCAGTGTTGTAACTCTGAACCATCGCTAAACAACAAAGTTGAAGACTACCTGTACAATGTATTCAGTTCCACTGTAGATGGCAAATAGTTTTTGTTTCTTTGAAACCATGTTAATAATAAAATATGCAAGTGTAGTTTTCTAACACATGGCTAATCAGCCTTGAAGAATTTAGTTTGCAAATTGATTAATGTTTTGATACATACTTGGTAGCAATTAATTCATTTATACAATATAATTCCTATACAATGCAATGCAAGGTGAAAAGTGAAGCACATGTACAACAACAATATCTATTATATATTCTGAGACTCATTAATTTAAAAAATTATTCTGAAAAAACTTGGCATATTAAATTATCAGGACTGATCGCTTGACAAGAAATTCAAATGGTTGCCCGGGGAAGCACGATTTTTAAGAACAACTATTGCACAAAGCACAATGTGACAGATGGACTGCAATGTTCTCTGCCATTAAAAAAGCCTGTGGCATATTCCAGTAAATGCATATCTATGTAATGGAAAATTCTCATTCTCTGGTTTCTTCCCTACCAAAGTCTATTGACTGATTCTGATTCTGCACCAGATCTCTGGCAGAAAGAACGTGTTCTTTGTTCAAGTCAGAATCACTATCTAGTACGTTCTCTCTGTGCTACTATGTAAATTAGGTGATACTGAACTTCATAACTCCTGGAGCTGCAACTGACAAGATATTATCTCAAAAGCCACAGAGTTTTGATGCCACCTGGCCTCTAATCTCTTAGAACACCGTGTTCACCTGTCGTGTTAAAGAACTGATGCTCTAAGTTAGAAATGCCCACAGCTACTCACAAAATACACACTTGGAAATATGTAATGACTTCAGGCTCTAAGGAAGGCAATATCAATTTTAAACACTCCACCCAAACTGTTTATTTGTGTATTAGAATTAATTTAGCCAGTTGACTGACAATCAAGGTATCTAAAGGAACCCCCCCAAAGCACTGGAGGGCACTATTGTATAAGAAGTGGTCCTTTTATGAAAGACCATGCTGACATGGAAGACAGTCTTCTAATGCTGATCCAAACCTACACTGTTTTCTTGTTCCATTTAGACATAAAAAAACAAACACGCTGTGTTTGGACCTGGAGAGCCACCACATTTGACTAACATAGTCTCTCCAAATTTTTGTTTATTTCAAAAAAATTTTAACTTATTTTAAAATTTTAACTTACAACTTTTTAAGTTATCTCAGAACATATCATATATGGTTGAGTTAGCTATTGTGGAAATACAATAGTTAAAATATTTTACATGTCCTCCAATGTGTTAGGATTACAGGTAGTCCTCAATTTACGGCCACAATTGGGACTGAAATCTTGGTTGATGAACAAATTGGTTGTTAGGCAAGAGGCCCACGTGACTGCATCACTCAATGACTGCAGTCCCAGCATTCCTGATTGGGCTCATTAAGTGATCTCCTGGGTTTTTAAATGGAGCAAAAGAGCTACCTGCTGAATTCAACTCCCCTCTGTTCACAGAAAGAAACTATTCCAGTGGGTTGCAGGAATGGAGCTCGGATTTTCAGGATCTGAGCTCTGTTTCTACACCCTGCCAAAGAAATTCGGCTCCGCTGAGTGTGCAGAAAGGAACTGCTCTAGCGGGCTGTAGAAACAGAGCTCGCATCTTCAGGATTGGAGCTCCTTTTCTGCACCCCAGCAGAGGAGTTCAACTCCCCTTGATAGACAGCTATTTTAGCCAGCCCCTAGAGACAAGACAGTCCTCTCAGCAGGCAGCAGTAATTTGTAACCTTCCCTGTTGGCTTCCCCACTGACTTTCTGGGGAAGCTAGCTGAGAAGACTTGCAAAGGGTCATCATGGGGTGCTTGGCAACCAGTCATAAACTTGAAGAGTTTGCCAAGCACCCAGAATACTATCATGTAACCATGGAGATGGGGGAGGGGCAGCTTTACAATGGCTTTATGTGAGTAAAATATCCTCTTTTTGAGGCTACTGTAACTTCGAACACTCATTAAATGACAAGTCATAAGTTGAGAACTACCCATATAACTTTAACTAGTTTGACTGAATTTGAATCGGGTTGGCATTAAGTAGAGGAAGGTTAACTTGGAGGGATGGTTTGCCTTAGTTCTGTTGGCCTATCTTTCAGATCACAATTTTTTGAACTTTTGCAAAAACCTGATGGATTTCCATAAGTAGAAGGGGGGGGAGTTCATTCAAACACCGCCAATATTCTACCACTAGAGCCTTGCTTCTTGATCAGGAATTATATATATATATATATATATATATATATATATATATATATATATATATATATATATACTAACAGGTTCCCTGGCCTGAAAAGTTTTACACTCCCCAATCCTGATGAATAAAAGCCAACAGAATTGGCAGAAATGGTTAACGTGATTTATGGCAAGCTATTTCCAGCTGATGGATAGCTCTAGCTTAATAATGATGGATTGCTATTGTATTAGCATAATATGGCTGAATGAATGATAATTAAAAACCATTAAGTTGATTATAAAATGAAAATTGACCAATCTCGTGTTCAGAATTTCAAGCTGCTGTAACTCACATTTTTTTCAGCCATTCAATTTTTCTTGCCTTTCTTCTTTTTACCATGTTCCGTTTCCTCTGTTGGGGAGAATGATGGAATTCCTGTATTTTGGTATTGTCTTTCGTTGTTAAAGAGTCCACACCCTTCCAATACTGAAATATATTGTTGAAAGCCATTTCACATTTATCAGAATTTTTTTTATCACTGGTCAAGGCTAAGTGCTTCTAAGATAACTGCTGTTCTGCCCCAGCTCCCCTCTCTCTTCCAATATGCTTTGTTTTTTTTTTAGGGCCCAGCTCAATTTTAACTGGTTGATGCTTGCAGAGACAGAGAAAATCTAGAGCCTGGCAATGGCTGCATTTGAATAGTCTGCTATGTCAAAAAGGTAGGTTGCTAAACAGACATTGATATTCCCTCTTCCATTCTACAATGTGCTTACAGTATTAGGTTAGCAACTCTTAACACTGCTTTGAGTCAGTAGTGAGTCTACATAAATAAAAGGAAATATGGTAAAGGTAAAGGTATCCCCTTTCCAGTTACGTTGGACACTAGGGGGTGGTGCTCATCTGTTTCTTAACCAAGGGAGCCAGTGTTGTCCGAAGACATTTCTGTGGTAATGTGGCCAGCATGACTATATGCTGAGGTCCGTGGAACGCTGTTACCTTCCCACTGAAATGGTACCTATTGGTCTAATTGCATTTGCATGCTTTTGAACTGCTAGGTGGGCAATAGCTGGAACCAGTAATAGGAGCTCACCCCATTCCATGGCACTTGGATCTCAAACCCGGGCTTCAACTTTCCAGCTGACAAGCTTAATGTCTTTAACCACTGAGCCATTTATACTAAGTTTAGCCAAACATTGTGGTTGATTGGAATTTGTTGGTTGGAATTTTCAGAAATGTTGACAAAATTTGCCTGTAAACTAAAAGTGGTAGTTTTGGGGATTCAGCTACCCTATGGAGATGTATTTTTATTTAACCTTTTACTTAAGATGCAAAAGTAGCCACAATTGCAAAGAAAAAAAAAAGAAGGCAATATTAGCTAATTATATTTCCTTTCAGAAATACCTGAAGCAAAATTGTAGGACGTGACAAGAACCTTTCTGTTTCCAATCAGGGTTCTCTGATATAAAACTTCTAAAAATATCCCTACATTCTAAGTGAACAGCATAATGCAGCCTTTTTAGTATAAGCAGTCCTCAAATTACAACCATAATTGAGCCCAAAGTTTCCATTCTTAAGCGAGTTTTGTCCCATTTTTTTTACTTTTCTTGTCAAAGTTGTTGAATCTGCAATGGTTAAGTTAGTAACATGGTTGTTAAGTGAATCTGGCTTTCCCATTGACTTTGCTTATCAGAAGGTCGCAAAAGGTGATCACGTGACCCCGGGACACTGCAACTGTCATAAATACATGCCGGCTGTCAAGCATCTGGATTTTGATCACCTGACCATGGGGAAGCTGCAACAGTTGTAGATATGATAAATGGTCATAAATCACTTTTTTGCAGTAACCTGTAACTTTGAACAGTCACTAGATCAGGGATAGGCAACCTTGGCTCTTTTATGACTCGTGAACTTTAACTCCCAGAATTCCTAAGCCAGCATGGCTGACTCAGGAATTCTGGGAGTTGAAGTCCACGAGTCATAAAAGAGCCAAGGTTGCTTACCCCCTGCACTAGATGGACAATTGTAATTCAAGGATTGCCTATAGTGATGTATACTTAACAAGATTAGCCTATAAAGATGTATACTTAATAAGATTAACCTAGCAATAGGTTGATTTGTAAATTACAAGCAAGCCCAACTTTTAAAATAAAATGCCTGACATTAACCTGTAACATTTCAGAAGACATGTGAGAAAAAAAAGAGTTGAAACAAAACATTAAGAAGGCAGAAACAGTAAAAAAGAATAGATAGGAAGGGTTGAGATGCAGTTGGTTGAATTAGGCCAAATAATTTATACAGTGAAGTAGAACTGGAGCAAGGATAGATGGAAGATAAATTTCCTGGTCCCAGAGCCGTATCACAGGTATTTTCCTCTTTATGAATTGTTGGGTAGTTGGTGATCCGTAATACAAAGTGGAGCAGTTCTACCACAGAACTTCTCTCAACACATATATCCCCTGAAATCTGGAAAGCTCAATAACCTTCCACAAACATGGAGAAAATACATAAAAGAAATAAATACCAACTCCTTGAAGCATTCTTTGAGAAGACTGGAAGATACCCCAATATCATTTTGCAGGTTTTGTCTATGCTTTAACAATAAGAAACAACAGCCACAACAAATCTTTGAAATGTGTCAAGTGGAAGGAAGTCGCCCATCACAACCTATGCAAACAATCTGTTTGGGGAGGGCAATATCAGAGGAACCAAGGGAGAAATTAAATTATTTATTGTCTTACTCTAATGGAAAGAAGTCTCCAGCCATTATTCTCGATGCGTTGATACCAGTCACTAGTACTTTCATTGACGCTCCCTTTCTGCAACTTTCTTGGATTTGGTTGGGTTGCCATCTTCGCATAGTCTTTGGGACTATTTGCACACAAATCCACAATAGGTCTATGAGTAAATATTTTATAATATATGCTGGGAGGAAACTTTTCCTGCAAGGAAATGTCCAATTTAAAAAGAAGTAAATGGAAAATATGTCCCGGTCACTGCAATTTGTTTTTACAGATCCTTAGGGATATTCTCTGTAAATGTCTATTTATTAACAGAACGAAAAAATTCTAAAATAGATCAGAAGCAAACTGGAATTATTTTTTCTTAAAATGCACTTTTGTGGACCCTGAGACAAATCATTCTAATATGAATTTGGAAGTTCTATTATTTGCACAAAGGGCAAAACAGCCATATGTTTGTTAAGCGTGAAGCAATCCTAAACTGTATAAATACGGAAGGAGGTAACTGACAACGCTGACTACAGTACTCTTAAACAAGTATTCCGACCTTCAAAATCTTTTCAATTCTCCCCCAGCAACACATATAACAAAATGGAAACGATTCTTATAATAACAGAAGCCCAATAAAAAAACCAAACATATAATAGCCAATAAAAACAAATGGCATTTTCTTGGTAGTCTGCACACAAGGAATTTGAATCTGTGCTGGAACCTGAATGAGATGGCTTTCTCCCTTCCCGTGAACTTCTCAACCACTTCAACTAGACCAGTACTGATAGCTCATGACCAAGTCTATGCCCCTTTACTAAGACATTGCAAGAATGTATAGTGTTTCAATGAATTCCAAAGCAGTTGGATGCTCAAAAAACACTATCTTGATTCTAAAAATGAAAGCCAGTTTGTTGCAATGGTTAAGGAAACCAAGAGACCAATTAAACTTATTTTAATTATTATTAAAATATAATTGTTAAATATATACTTACCCCGCCTAGTCTGAATTTAATATGAACTCCTGCTGCAGCATCTAAAAATTCTGCCTGTAATTATACAAGATTATATATGCATTAGCATGCAAAAGCTTTAAAAAGTTGATGCACTTCATTACTCTCTATATATATATCAGATAAAATAGTGATAGAATATTGACGCTTTCTAAAGCAAAACATTTTTATTATAAATAAAGAATAAAACAACTGACTTTAAGACCTCATTTTTTTAACAGGAAGGATGACCTTGCTTCATTTTGCATAACTCCTGAAAGCTGGCTTTAGGTTTTGAGACTGCCATTTATATTTCTCATTCTATAATAATTATTCTGAATCAATATTTGCAATCACAGAAAATCCTGACTTGGCTGTTGGTTACTCCAGGCAGAGAGTTCTGTCAGCAATCCAGTTGTGTGTGCAACTGAGCAGGTTTCCATATGGAAAGCCAGAACACTATCAGAGCACCCTTTAGGACAGGGCTGAGCAACTGTGGCCCTTTTACGGCCTGTGGACTTCAACTCCCAGAGTTGTTAAGCCAGCTGGCTCAGGAATTCTGGGAGTTGAAGTCTACAAGGTCGTAAAGGGGCCATAGTTGCCCACCCCTGCTTTAAGGTCTCCTTTCCACTTTCTTTTGACAAACTGGAAGTCTGCTTGTCAGTTAGAAGAGAAATCTGACACTGATACAGCTTTATACAGATAAAAAGAATGGACTATCAGGAGATCCAAGCAAGCCAAGTTCATTGTGCTTTTCCATGCAAAGCTGGAACCTTGTCTGAGTTCACTCCAGTCTTTTCACAGCAAGCCAAATATCAATTTGCCCAGGCTGAGATGAAGTGAGTGTTGGCAATGATTATGCTTTGCATATACAAATTTGAGAACTCCTGACGTAAATGGTCGTTAGCAGTAAAAAGAGAAAAAAAATAGGGTTAGCACATAGATATATAGTTTTTAAACATTTGCTACAAACTTTGATTATACCATGTTAAGCCATATTAAATGGCACACTGCTGTTAATGTTAGGCACACCATGGATCAATTATAAAAGTGTGAATGCTTAATACTTACCACTTCACTTTAGCCCTTACCTCTCTAGGTTCAATGTACTTCATAAGATGGCAAGGTTCCCCATACTGTTTAAAGCCTATAAGCTCTTTATAATATTCAAATACACCCATATCCTGGGGGGGTGAGGGAATAGATAAATGCAGACTAGTTATAAACACAAATATTACATTTGCTGTCACTTTGTGCACATAACATTTTATCCGGGTTTCTCCTGAAATAATTATTCATTCGTATTGTGCTGATTGTATCTTATGGGATGGCCATGGAGATTCTGAGTCCTCTTTCATTTGATTTATTTGCTTGCATGTTTATTCAATTTCTATAGACACTCATCTCAACCAGTAACTTTTGGCAGCTTACAGTTCTAAAACTATAAAAACAATAAAAAACATTTAAAATAATAGAAACTTCCAAAAATAAATGTATACAGCAGCCAAGATAATTAACCAATTAAGAGTACAGCCACAAATGGACCCTAAACACATTCAGAGCCCCAGGCTCGGGTACACAGCCAAATTTTAAAATCTTACAAAAAGATAGTAGGGGAGAATATTCCACAGTGCAGGGGCTACTCTGGAAAAAGCCTGTCTTCTAGTCCCCACCAACCGACCCTCTTTGGCTGATGGGATCTGCAGGATGCCCAATCTGCTGGATTGAATTGGATGGGGAGAGATTCTGGAAAAAGACAGTCCCTCAGGTAATCCTTCATGTGTTCAAAAAGAAGCTCAGGTATTAAAGAGAAGGTTGGAGTCAAGACTGTAGATCAGTGGTCCCCAAGCTTTCCAGCTCAGTGGACCGGCAGCGGAAGCAACGGGAGGACGGGATGGTTTCACACAAACAACCTAATCCCACACCATGCATACATGGAGTTTTACATGCTCACCCACTGTTTGCATGGCCAGGTTCCCAACAGGTTGCGAACCGGGGATTATGGACCCTTGTCGTAGATGACCCGTTCTGACTATAATTCGACTTATCTAAGCTTCAAATTCTCCAGATTAAATAGCGCTCTTTTTTATTTTTAAAATTCATCATTGGTTGCCATATCAGGAAAATGTGTCAATAGTAGCCATTGCTTGATTAACCATGATTTATTGAGTAAACCATAATTGCCTGGCTTCACACATTTTCTTAAACCATCAACCACAGATTACAAACCAAAACCACTTGGATCACATATCACACTCAGCAAAGAACTACAAACTCACACAATTGTTGATTATGATGTGTGAATACCTGAAGAAATGGAAAGGATAGAGGTTTTTTTATAGACATAAGGTGCTCCCATCTTCTGCATCTTCAAACTTTCAGCCACAAAAGGGAACAAGTGTGTAGATGCAATATGACATCTTGTCCCTTAAGAATGCAACAATCTTGGAACCCACAGGCTCCAATCCATCCAAAATGTGTAGACGTCTACACAAATACACCTGAAAAACTCAAAAAGCATGTTACTCTAGAAAAAGGGATGAAAGTGCAAGTATTGTTAACTTACCAGCCATCTTCTCCAGGTTTTTTGAATGACATGTGCTGCTTTATCCTTTTTCTCTTCTTTCTTATCACGGAACAACTCTATCACATTCTTTGGATTTATAATACGTTTTCCAGAATTTCTTAAAATAAAATTTTCATGATACCATTTATGCTCTATTATGAAATAATTATTTGCATAATAATGTTGGATTTTTCCTTATTTTAAAATTCCCCCTGTCAATATTACACAGCCCATGAAGTAGAGTTTGGTATTACATAATTTATATAGAACTCCAAATGACTTTTAAAAATGCAAATAAAAATATGCCAAAACCAAATCTGGATAAATGAAATAAAGACCACCCTGCTATAAAATCACAACTAGTAGCTTAAACATCAATCTCTCATACATTGTATTTGGGACATTGAATACAGATCTATAGAGACAACTTAAAAAATTTACACCAAGTACTAATTACTACCAATTAACTGACCATGCAGGAAGTAGGACCAGTGTACATAAAACCTAAAGGACTCCTAGAAGAGAGGAGTTGAGACCCACCACTTTTGAACTTACTGTCCTAAACTTCCTCAGCCACTACAGCAACCTCAACCTCAGCAATTTTAAGATGTGTAGACTTCAACTCCCAGAATTCCCCATGCTGGCTAGTGAATTTTGAGAGCTGAAGTCTACCTATTTTAAAATAGCTGAAGTTGAGAATTCTTTGCTTAAGGCAATTTGAAGTCTATGGCTGAAAGTGAGTGCAACTGGTGAAAACTGTATAATTTCCCATGACACTTAAGCAGGAAAAGATCAAACATTATAGTTTTAAAATAACCTATTACAATTAACAACAAAGAAAACTTCCCTTGATCCAAATACCCTTGGCTTTTTTCACTTGTATGAGATAGATCCAGCAATGTAAACAGTGCACCCCCTCAAAATTATACCATGCATCTCTCCACAGTAAACACCAAGATTGCCCCCCACCCCCACTAAAAGATGTAAATATACACTCCTGCTATGGTATAATTATAGTCTTACCCATAATTTTTCTTGTAGTCGTCCTGCATTGTAGTACTATGTTTGGTGCTGGAAAAAAAAATCAAAACTGTGGATTACTATGCTATTCATGACTTAGGAAAAAAAATTGGTGATAATTTCCATGGTTTGGTATTTTATAGTTTGAAGGGGGAATAGGTTTAGCTCTCATTCAGGACAAAAGAGAATATTGGTAGCTCAGAGTTGAACAGAGATCCTTGATGCTCTCTGAGTTTATTTTCTTGCAGACATTTCATTACCAAACTAGGTAACATCATCAGTGCTCTCCAAAAATCAACCAAGTTTGGAAAGAACCAAGGACCCAGCAAACTGTTTAGTCTATGGCAGTATTTATTAAAATGTGGTCCTATGAAAGGTCCTAGTCTCACAGAGGCCTATGTAATAAAAATGATTTGCCAACCTATGCTGAAAAATAATGCATTAAAATTCCATCAAACAATTGTGATATGTGGTAGCAGCAGCAAATCACCAATTTTAATTTTTAATACAGTAAATATTGATAAATATAACCCATACAAGGTTCCTCCATAATTTTTTAAAATGGGAAGGGAGTCCCAAGAGGAAAAAAGGTTAAGAAACTTGACCTATAGGTTCTTTGCAGTTTCCAACAAATTTCAGCAATTGCACTGTAAAAATTCTTTTTATCACATTTTTAGCTCTTATTCTGAAATGACATTGGCAATAAACTGGTACTTAACCAATACTTGTTTTATTGTGCTTCAGTTCATTGAGCTTTGCACCTTCAGCAGCAAAAAGATTATGCCTCATTGAAGGCTCAGATAATGATTTTTAGGTATATTCACATTATAGAATTTTCTAGGAATAAAGAATTTTTAAATTGTGCTATGTATATTGGGACAGAAGGTGTAGACCTGATACTAGTGTACATTTAAGAGACTGCAGTATAGTGTTAATGTTACTTTTATATGCGCAGGAAACCAAAACACTCATGTTCCTTGCTTTATTGTGATATCTGCTTTATTGCAGTAGTCTGGACCCAAACCCGCAATACTTCCCAGGTATGCTGTGGTTTAAAAAGAAGTGTGCAGTAATCTAGGGACGAATAAAAATGTTCACAGCATATTAAATGAATTTTAAGTGTTTAATCATTTAGAAAACAATGTAGAAAAGTGAAACTAAACCCCAGACATATCTCGATTATTAGATTATTCTTGCCATGAGCTGTACATAGACTGTCTTTGAAGACGGTTTTCAACTTTCCATTGGTTAAAATCAAATTTCATGCATATATTATGTTGTTATTAAGTCATTGCTATTAAGTACTATATTGCTGCCAACCTCGATTCATAATTCTGCTTTCAACCTTCAAGGCCCAGAACAAGCAGCTAACTCTGTTTTCCATACGAAGCAGGAACCAGATTAATTTCTCCCCCAGTTACACTTTACCAGAGTATGGTTTATTTTCTGAAAACCAGAAATCTAATGGATAAACATGAAAGACCAAGTAGGATCATCTTTGTTGCTGATGCCATCCTGAAATACTTTTTTGAGGTCTGTTTCATCTTCAGTGTTAGGAGTTGCATAATACACACCAGGAAAACAAACAAACAAACCCAAGCACCAAGTGTGCGAACACAATAGATTAAGCACTGTATAAAGCTGTTTGCGAGTTTGGCAGGTGAATTGATGGATATTTTAACCCATTTTTTTCCTAAACTTGGTAACTTTTAAGATGTGTGGACTTCAATTCCCAGAATTCCTCAGCCAGCTATGCTGGCTGAGGAATTCTGGAAGTTGAAGTCCGCATATCTTAATTTAGCCCGGTTTGAGAAAGACAGTTTTAACCCTCCCTGACTGCCACCCTGTCCCCGGGCCTCGCCTCCGCCGTCCCGATCCCTGCTTCCGATCCCGAAGCCTGCCTGATTAAGGTGGAACCGGCCCGGAGCCCAGTGGTGCTCTTCGATCTCCGGTGGAGGCGACTTTAAGCCGGTCGTGGAACGCTTTTCGGTTGCCACAGCAGCCACCTGGCAGGCCGGGGAAAGGAAGGCGGCTGGCCTCGGAGACCGACGCCGCAAAAGAGTCGGGCGTCTCTTTCTGCGTGGTTTTTGTCTTCAAAAGCGAATGCAATGCCCTCGGCCCTGTAGAAGCCCCTCTGTATGGGCTGTTTTGTATTCCTCCTGCAAAAATAGCTCATAAGCTACTTGCTCTCGGTGGAAAAGGGTTTTATTTTTCTTATCGGCAGTTTTTTGCTCTCTTTCTGTAGTAGTGCTTTTGTCTAGATCCCAACTGGAAGGGATCCAGACAATCCATTTCCTCCAAGAGCCCTCTGATATTTACAACCACCTTAGCCCAAAAGGCATTTATCGGTGAATAATTTTAATAAAGGTGATTTTTTTTTCTGGCAATGGATTTGTGTTTGTGTACATTGCTGCAAACGCTTGTGAACATATACAGAAGTCACACCTGCATTCTGAAAATGGGATCCCTAGCTAAAGACCTCGTGGAAAGCCAACTAGCAAGAGTAATTGTGGTGTAATAATTCTGGCAAATGACAGCCTTTAAAAATGGAAGCTCGTTGTATAGTCTTGATCGAAGCAGGGATAAATCAACAAAAGAGGAAAGATCAATTTGTAATGTATTGCTATAAAGATCTAAATACTTGGGACAGTTTTAATGAATGTAAAAATTTATTTCAATAATTCTGTTAATTAAAAACTGAAGAATCTAAAATCGCACATAATACAGTTACTCAAAATATATCTGAAAGTGTTATTTTCCTTAAAGATGGACTGATGTCTGTTCTGATGCTTCTGTACAAGAAATCCTCAACTTACAACAGTTCATTTATTGACCGTTCAAAGTTACAACGGTGCTGAAAAAAGTGACAAAGTTTTTCACATTTTAACAAACGTTGCAGCATCTCCATGGTCATGTGATCAAAATTAACATGCTTGGCACCTGACTCATATTTATTATGGTGACAATGTCCCGGGGTCATGTGATCCCCTTTTGCAACTTCCTGACAAGCAAAGTCAATGGGGGAACCAGATTCACTTAACAACCATGTTACTAAACAACTGCAGTGATACATTTAACAACTGTGGCAAGAAAGGTTGTAAAATGGAACAAAACTCACTTAACTAATGTCTTGCTTAATGACATAATTTATGGGCTCAATTGTGGTCGTAACTCAAGAATTACCTGTACTAGCCTATTGGTTAACATAGTTGGCTCATGGGAACTCATGCTGCTTTCATCAGTGCCCCAATTTAAAACCTTTTTTGAGGCAGTCGTTAAGTGAGCACTGCAGTTGCCACAGTTGTTAAATGAATGCCAAGCCAGTATTTCACTATGGGCCTGGTTTTGTCAAAAACATGAAGGAAATCCTTGTAAAAATGTGGTGATATGACTATGGGGCACTGCAAATGGCAATGAATACAACCCAGTTGCTGAGTTCCAGAAAGGCTGACATGACCACGTGTTGGGGGGGGCTGTTGAAACCCCAGATCTGGATTGTAGGTACCCCCCCAAACCTTGTAAGTCTATCAGAATTTAGAACAATCACTTAAGCAATGAGTTATAAATCAAGGATTACCTGTATGTAACATGATTCAAAATAATTATTTTAGTGGAGAAGACTTACCTTCTCTCACCAAATTAATTAATGAGATCTGCAGCCAAATAATGTTCATGTAATCTAGCAAAGAGGCATTCACACCTGCAAGGTTAAATGTAATTAAGTTGGGCTGTATTGTCACTGGTGCTCATCAAAATATTTACTATTTTAATAGCCTTGGCAACTTTAAAAAGACACTCCCCCTGAGTTAATTATGAGAATTATGCAGCCAAAAGTTTGACGTATTAAAGTGAAACCTGTTGTTGTTTTAGTATGGCCACTTTGTTTTTTTTAAGAGTTATTAATTTAAACAATGTCCAGGGGGCAGAACTGAACCAATACTATCTGGATCAATGACCCACATTCAAAGCAAACAGGAACTTCTTTTATTTGAGATAAGTAACCACTGAGCACAATTTGCTCTATTAAAAAGTATGGATATGTAACTCTGTACTTACCTTTCCGGAAGGTAAGCTCAAGTGAGCGCACACAAGTTACTCTTAAGAAATCAGTACCAAATTACAGTCTTACTGATTTTTTCCCCATGTGTATTTCCTGTGCAATACAATATGCCACAAAGCTTTTCTCATAAATCAGAAGTTGCTTTTTAGTTTTGACCAGATTGTATCTCTGTAAATCCTTTTTGATGGTAGAAAATTATTTGGCTCCTTTGAACCAACACGTAACTGCTGTGGTTGCTCACTTCCATTACCAAGCTTCCGAGGGATGGCAGATTCATGCAAGCTTTCATTTCCTGTTAATGGGAAAGAGGTCTAGCCACTGAGCAGCTTCAAAAGATGTTCCTATCCACTGCAGAGTGACCTAATTTATAGAGCCTGTTGGGCAACTTTTGGGTAGGTCTGTGTTTGGAAATCAAGATGCAACTTGCATACAGAACACTGAGACCCACAGACAATAACTCAGGAAGCTGTGATTTCACCTGCCTACCAAAGCTATTTGTAGAGAATGCAACTTTCATTTGCATGGCCTGCCAAACATGCTAATCAGGCTTTTCCGGGGAGTTGCAGCCCTAGCATACCTGGAAGCTAGCAGAATAGGGAAGATTAATTTGGATTTGAAATTCAGAGAGGGAATGGATAATCTGCCCATTTCTAATTGGGAGCTTTTGTGTATGTGCGCACATGTGTCATCAAGTTAGTCTTGACTCTTGGTGACTACATGGAGAAAGCCATACAGCTCCCACTGCCTTCTTCCCAGAGCCAGCTCCAAGTCACCCTCCAGCAGTGTTTCTCAACCTTCGCAACCTGTAAATGTGTGGGCTTCAACTCCTATAATTCCCCAGCCAGCCATGGGAGGTTCTGGAAGTTGAAGTCCATACATCTTCAAGCTGCCAAGGTTGAGAAACAATGTTGAGCCATACAATCTCTTAATTTTTACTCTTTAAAAATAACTCTACATTTGGCTCCCTACATTAAGAGCTAAAATCCTTCAAGCTTCGTACCAAGATGCTAAACAGCAGCTAAGACAGGGGTCTTCAAACTTGGCCCTTTTATGACTTGTGGACCTCAACTCCTAGAATTCTTCAGCCAGGCATGCTGAAGAATTCAGCTAGGGCCAAATTTGAAGACCCCTGAGCTAAGAGCTCTACAGAGTCCTTATGGTTATGTAGTTCTTTTAGAATAAATTCTTAACCTGGAAAGTTACATTTAACTCACTTTGAAGTGCTAAGCTACTTAACAGCAAGTCCTTCACAAAAATATCAAAACAATAGCCTTGATACAGGCAGCTAGGTAAAGTCAAGCCAAGACTTTTGTTTTAAAAAATAGTATAAAAGGAACCTCTCCGATTTATTCTTCCCTTAGCATTTTACAAGTCACTGGGGGAAGGTTGTGTTTTCTCAGGTAACATTGCAACAAGTTCAGCTTCCCAGTCTTGGTTTATCGGCATTAAAATTCCCTTTCTCTCCTACTTGTGATGAGCAGTGGTGATGGGGACTGAGTGTAATCCAACATCCGAGGACTCGAAGTTTGGAGTTACTGATTTAAATCAGCAGTCCCCAATCTTTTGGGGTCCATAGATAGGTAGCGGTGGCAGCAGTAGGGAATGGTTTCACACATACAACCTAATCCTGTTCATGGGCAAACAAAGCCCCGTGTGTTCACCCGTTTGCACTGCCTGGTTCCCAATGGGCCACGGACCAGTACTGTTCCATGGACCGGGGGTTGGGGACCCCTGATTTAAATCATAAATCTGGTCTACCTTAGACAGTTGTGGCAAGGATTGTAACATGGGTTATCTTGGACACTTGTAAGTCATCTGAATATGGCTTTCAAGTTAGCATAAATATTCACATAGTTCAGGAGATATAATTTCACCATACAGGTGGATCTTGTTTAGCAATCACAACTGGAACTGGCAATGTAGTTGTTAAGTAAAGCACATTAAACCACATTAAACCGCGTTCATGTGTATCATTGTTTTGTAAATATTTATCTGTGCTAGATTTTAGTGCTTTAACTGTCATTAAAAATCTTGCATCACTGTTGCAACACACACTTTGGCACTATTTACTTAAAGTTCTTCCCTAGAAGACGTTTTCCTGTGGCAATTGCAGTCCTGTCATCAAGCTGAGGTGTAAATTCTCGTATTTCAGGTTTACTGGCTTGGTGTTGAGCCAAAGGAAACTGAACAGCACATTATTAAAACAAAGTGTTCCCCCTTTTTCTATCTGAATCTTCTCTTTAACCATTATTCTTTACGCTTTTTCACTTTTTCATTTTCATCTTATATTTTTTTTCTGGTAAACCAGTGATATTACAAATACAGATCTTACGACAGCAAACATCATTAAAGGACTTCCTTCTGATTAAATTGGAGTTGTTGTGCTGTGGGATTAAAAAGTTGTTAGAAATTCATGCTCATGTTTTTTAGGCATTTTCATTATTTGCAACTTGACAGAATGTGGGAAGAAAATTACGTTAAAGGACTGTGACTCTGTACCTGCCCATCAACACAAGGTGGGAGTAAGGCAGTGAGAAGGCTGTGGCCAGGGAGTGAAGCTGAGATGATGAGGGGACTACATCAGCTGTCTATCATTATATATAGGGATATGGGGCCTCTAAAAGCCCATCAGCATCCTGATGGATCTTCAGGAGAAAGTTTCCATCTGCAAATTCTGCAACTTCTGAGGATAGCAAGGTAGCAGCCCACTGATTAATTCATAGAAAAGCCATTACAAGTAGGCCTTGACTTATGACTAGAGATGGGAAGGCCTGGAAAAAACTGGAAAAATTGAAAAAAAAAAGTTTTTCCAAATGGCTTTGGAAAAAAAGAGAAAAACATAAAAAAAACCCCATTCCCCTCCCAATATTTCTGGTTTTTTTCCCCCAGGCCTTCCCATCTCTACTTATGACCACAATTGATCTGAAATTTGAGACAGTTTTTAAGCGAGTTTTGCCCCATTTTACAACATTTCTTGTTACAGTTGTTAAATGCATCACTGCAGTTAAGTACTAACACAACTGTTAAATGAATTTGGTTTTCCCATTGACTTTGCTTGTCAGAAGGTTGCAGAATGTGATCACATGACCTTGGGATACAGCAACACTCACCAGTTGCCAAGCTTCTGAATGTTGACCACATAAACATGGGGATGCTGCAAAGGTTGTAACTGTGAAAAATGGTCATAAGTCACTTTTTTCAGTGCTGTTGTAACTTTGAACTATCACCTAAATGAACTATTGTAAGTTGAGGACTACCCTGTATTTCACTTTTTTTACTTAAAACACTAATACAGACCTCCATATTTTAGGCAATTCTGAATCTCTCCCAGTTGAGGACTACCTATATACTAAGAAATTGAAAAAAAAAAACCTATTCTAATGAACTAAAAGGTTAAAATGGGTTCTAAAGTGCAAGTAATCCTGTTCACTGAATTTTTCTGGTTTTATCTTATTCCCTTTTAATATATACGGTAAAAAAAAGCTGCTGTCATTTAACTACAACAGCTTGGAGAAATCAAGGACAGTCAGTTGTCTCTGTTCAACTGAATGCCAATGAACTCGAAAAAGTGAGCACTGAGATATGATTGGGCTTCGGACAACTGACTGTCAACACATGTGGTGAAGTGGGGGCACCATTCATGGGGGTACTCTAGATAGTGGCCATCTGGAGCTGCGGTGGATCACTTAGTGAGTCTCCAGGAAAATTAGTGTCAAAAAACACACTTTAGGAATCTCTGCCTAGGTGCTAGTACAGGTAGTCCACCGGGTTAAGAATGAGTTCCATTCCTAAGTCTGTCTTTAACTTGAATTTGTATGTAGGTCAGAACTTGTATTTATGAACAGACTATTACTGCCTATTACTGAAAACGGCAGACAGTGTTCTCCCTCCTTGAAACTGATGAATGGCTGAAGCTGTGCAATATTTTCATGAACCACTGAAAATGGATTGCATATTAAAAATGCATGGCTTCACTGGTTCATAAAAACATTGCACAACTTCAGCAGTTCATCAGGTCAAGGAAGGAGAATGGCATCCACCGTTCTTAGTGGTAGGCAACCCATGTGTAAGTATGACTTGTCCATAAGTCAGACGTTCTTAACCCAGGGACTGACTATAGAATACACTACACTAGGACATCTGAGGAATGAATGGGGGCTGAAGGATGGAGCCCCAAAGGGATATGCATCTCTAAAGTAGAACATTAGCAGCAGAAGCAACCAAGGGGAGGAGAAAATGCTGAGAAGATAGCAGGGACATCAAGTTGGAAATTTCTGATGGAAGAGAGAGAGAAGGTGATAAATAGCAGATTGGCCCTGCTCTGTCTGTACATTAGTTTGCCCCAAACCTGGAATCACCATAGTATTCCAGGGTCTGGTTCTGTCAAACCATGACTGATCCAAAAGAGTTCAGAAGACACTCTGGAATACAATGGTTTTGCTGGATTTAAAACAAAACATTTTCCCATTTTGTATATATTCCTATCTATAAATAGCTGATTTCTCTCTGTTTCCTGCATAATTCACCCACAATCATAAATCTACCAGAACATTCTTTTTTGTTTAATTTGAAGCAGATCATGAGATTAAAAAGAAGTCGGGGTCCTTTGAAAGAAGAAAAGGAATGTACTATGTCTAGTTAGATATATCAGGCCTTAGGCACAAACCTGGAACACTTTGAAAAAAACCGGTGAAGCTAGAGTAGTAGTTCAGCTTTCTGCCCTTTCTTAGCAATTGTTCTGAGATCTTCATGGTTTTCCTGAGAAACAAAAAACCAATGACTCATGCATTAGATAGGGACGGCCATTCTGTAGTTTGTATAAGCCAATGTGATTTGATTCATCCATTGCACTAATGAAACAAATGTTGAATACAATAATCCAAGAATCAAGTGTTATAGAAATGGCTAGTTTGTGCTATTATGGAAAAGAGAAAAAGTTGAGGTTTGATCTTAATGCTTCATTCTACTGCAACAGAGGAAGTTGGAAGTCAATGCCTTTTCTTTTTTCCCCCTCTTCTCCCCCCTCCCCACTTTTCTTTTCCTTTTCTCTCCCCACTGTGTCCTACTATTTGCTTTGTATTTTGTATTTTACTCTATAAATTAATAAAATGTTACAAATGATAAAAAAAGAAGAAGACTCAAGTGAGAGGTTGGATTCAAACAAGTAGCTTAATAGAATAACAGAGTCAGAAGGGTTCTTGGAGGTCTTCTAGTCCAACCTGAAGTTACCATTCCAGACAAGTAGCTGTCCAGTCTTTTCTTAAATGCCTCCAGTGATGGAACACCCACAACCTCTGAAGGCAAGCTGTTCCACTGGGTAATTGTTTTCACTGTTAGGAAATTTCTCCTTAGTTCTAGGTTGCTTTTCTCCTTGATTAGTTTCCATCCATTCAGTAAACCAAGCTTAACGTATATTACAAAGCTTAACTCGATTTACTGAAGTAATCCATTTTTTTTTGTGAACACACAAAACTCACTGAATTTTTCTCATGTGGCTGTGATGGTCAACAGTGCAATCACTGGTTGTTAGTCCATTTTTCGGCAGTGAATGGTCAGTGAATGAAACCACGTGAGCCACCATGCTCCATCCTGTAAGATGACAATGTTTAATACAGGTAATCCTTAACTTATGACCACAGAAATTCCATTACTAAGCAAGGTGGTTGTTAAGTGAACCACACCAAATTTTATGACCTTTTTGCCACAGTTGTTAAGTGAATCATCCCAGTTATTAAGTGAATCACACAGTTGTTAAGTGAATCCATTGACTTGCTTGTCGGAAACCACCTTGCAAAGTCACAAGTGGAGATAATGATCCCAGGACTCTGCAATTGTCAGAAATACGGGCTGGTTGCCAAGTCCCTAAATTTTGAGCATGTGACCATGGGAATATTGCAATAGTTGTAAATGTGAGGATCGGTCATAAGTCCCTTTTTTCAGTGCCATTGTAATTTTGAAGAGTTGCCAAATGAATGTTCCAAAAGTACTTTTCCAAAAGGCAACTGGACTTTCTTGTTTTTTTTCTTTGAAAATGTTTTGCTCCTCATCCAAGAAACTTCTTCAGTTTTCTTCTTGGATGACAAGTGAAATGTTTTCAGAGAAAAAAAATCAAGAAAGTCCAGTTGCTTTTTAGAAAAGCACCTTTGGGACAACCATGACCTGGATGACTGAGAATTCATTTGCTAAATGAATAGTTGTTATGTTGAAGATTGCATGTAGAAAGGGCCTGGAATGCACTTGCTGTGCCAGAACATACCAGACGCGTAGAGACAACTGGAAATATCTAGGTCCTATGCCATGTTGCAGTGTTAGTTCCACTCTTTTCATATTTATGTGTGAAACCAACTCTTCAATATGACTTGTTCCAGAGCAATAGTCAGTTGACTTTAAAACCATCAAGGAAGGGCTTTTCGTAATTTGGGGGAGCTAGCATGGAAACACGTCCAACTTCTCTCACATAATTTTGATCACTTAGAATACGGCTGTAATTGTCTTTTCATTGATATCTTCTTCTTCTTCTTGTGCCACATCCGTTATCGGACATTGGCGATCATGTTGGTGATCCTGTTTTTATCAGCAGCCACACGAAAAAGTGCTGCTGAGTTTTGTCCAAACCCTTAGATTTTGAAGCCACGATCTTCTTCTTCTGCCTGGACCTTGTTTGCCTTCAATCTTTCCCTGGAGGATTAAATGGACTATGCCGTATTTTTCTGGGTGTCGCATCAAATGTCCGAAATATTCTAACTTTCATTTTTTAATTGTTTTGATGATTTCCCTTGGCTTTCCCAGGTGGCTTATCACCTCCTCATTCTGATCTTGTCAACCCAGCTTATACATAACAGCCGCCTGTAAATCCACATTTCAAATGCTTCAAGTCTCTTCAGGTGGCCTTCTGTCAGAGACCAACTCTACTTCATAGAGCAGGATAGAAAAAATATAACATCTGACAAGCCTGATTTTCAATCTTAGGCTTTTGCTATGCAGTTTAGGAACAGTTCATCCCTGAAAAAAAAGAAAAGAACTAGGTTTTAGAAGAGTGAAAACAGCAATGTTAGGAATCTCTTTAGTGATTCCAGTGCTATCTTTCAAAGGTCACATTGTCTTTTATCTGGATCAGGAATTTTTCAACTGCAGTATTTAGAAATAAGTGTAGATAAATATGTCTTAGCATATTAATGTTACTAAGCTGCATACTACCTGTTTTGATATATTGCAGTTGTGATCTGCTCAGACGGAGTTTCATCTTCCTTTTTCTCATAGGAAAGATGAGAGAAGAAATTTAGACTCCTTCAACATTGTCTACAGCTAGACAATGTTATTTCACTCTTCTTTTCTGACAAAGATTTCCTGCCAAAGACCTTTTCTAGCAAAGACTTTGGCTCATCAGTTGACTCATGGTATATAATAGCTCCACAATGCCAGATCCTTATAGAAGTGCTCATGGTATTCAGAATTCTCCTTAAATAGAAGGTTGTCACCCAATAACAGGTATGGGAACTGACAGCCTGCAGCTGTTCCATCTAAACTCACGTAGTATTTATTCTATGGGGAAAGAAGGAGAAAGGAGGTCAACAGCATTAGCAAAATGTATTTTGATTCTGAACTATATTCTGACCATACTGTGGTCAAACCCCACTTCCTAGTAGGGCGGATGATGTTACCCAGTTTGGTAATGAAATGCTTTCAAGAAAACAACCAAGCTCAGAGAGCATAAGGGACCCCACAGTTCAACTCTGAGCTACAAATATTGTCTTCTATCGATTCTGACCACAATAATTACACAATTTTATCAGATATTTCTTTTCTGGACGTCTGGTACTTTTTGCCTAGGATTTCAAAGAAATACACAGGAAACATCCAGAAGCTCAATGAATTTTGCAAGCTTTCTTTCACATCATAGCGAGTAGCCTCCCTGGCCAAAGATTACATGTTTGGCTGACACACTGATCCAGATCCAGTAAGAAAAGGTGATTCAGAACATATATAGAAGTATCTGTTGACAACTACTTCAAGAAACTGCTTCTTTTCCTGGGCTCCAGCACAATCCCACAGGGGAAAAAAATTGATTTAATCATTCATTACATTTTGATCATTTGATCCATACTCAAATATGTTCCAAATTATCTTTGTGCCTTCAAATCTGGATCACTGCAACCTTATTCCTTTTATCTGCAAATTTGGAAGCCTACAGAAGCAGCTGTTGAAATATAACCCAAAGAAGCAAAGAGAATTCTTATGTACTCAGGGGAGTCTTCCGATTATGTGAGATGGGAAGGAGGTGGCTTGAGAACAGAACATGTCTTTTAAATGCACATCTTGGTTAATAATAAGATCAGTCAGGTAGTAAACACTACTAGTCATTGTTACCATTTTATATATTTTGGATTTTATAACATATATGAAATGAATGCATGGATGATTTCTTCTTCTGATAAGGAATCAAAACATAATCTGTATGGCAAAAAATGTTTCTTCTGCTTCATATGGACAGGAAGAAGTGACCCACAACAGATTTCTATGATAGGTGCAAATTTATTTATTTAGAAATTAATAAAAATAAATGCAAATTAAAAACAGATGAAGATGTGACAGTCAAGAATATTCAGCCAATTATACAACAGACAAGATATGATAGGCAGCACAATAAGGAGTTCTTATACGGCTGAACTGATTTTGAGTCAGGTTACAAATGGAACAATAGAAAAGATATTTGTTTTGTTTTTTTCATTATTGGATTTAGGGTAACTAAGAGAGATAGCATACCTTTAAAAAGGATCCCATCAGTCAATTTTCTCCTGAACCTTCCCCCTTTTTTTGAAGTAGAAATATTTTCTTATTCCAGCATCTGTTAGTTCAGGGAGAGCTGCATCAGCAAACACTGTTCCTCTTGGCTTTCCCTATCTCTAAAAAAATTACACTCAGGTTTGTTGTCCCAGACAAGTCCTGGAATTAACAGAAGTAAAGATAAAATGTGAGAGGGACATAAGCAGAACACAGGAAACTTAGAAGTCTATTATTTCAACTTTAACAGTTTATTTATTGAAGGCCATTGATGTTTTAAAGATAAAACAGACATTAGAAAGAAATATCTTTTTCAAGGATACTGTAATAGGTGAGCTCTCACAAGGTGAGTTAGATATGTATAGTCTTATGTGAAGCAGGAATTATTCTTCTCTGGAAAACACACCTTCCATTTTATTATTACATATTCAGAAGATTAACAACTGAACTTGGGAACAAGTTTTCCCAGTCTAAACCAGAAGAGCTTGTGCTGATCAGCTGTGAATCTACAGCAGAACCAAGCGTGATCTTTTTCAGCTTAAAAGTAATCTAGACTTTTGAGGAGGCTGGGAAGAAGACAATCAGATTGGTTTTAGAATAATTTAATACATCTTGAAATAGACACAACAAAAAGTGGAAAGGACATGAGGATGACCAAACTGAGAAAAAAGATATGGTTCACTCAGGAAATGATAATATACAATGCATGAAGAGTAAAGATTCAGGAGAAAGTGACATTGATATACAGTAGCAAAACAAAAATGTGAGTCCTATATTCCTGTTCAAGAGTACAAGCAAGGATGAGAAAAGGGTGGATTTCATTTAACAATACATTTTTTTCATGATTTTATCAAATACTTGAGTCCCAGCTGCAGCAAAATCATCTCTTCTTTTCACTTCTACCTTGAATTTCTTGGATGAAGGGTAGAACACATATGTGAGCCATACTATTACCTTGAATAAACCAGGGTGCAAAGCCTTTAGTTTAGGCTATATGTAGCTCAGTGTCTTTTCTTCTCAACTGTGCTGCTAAAGAGGCTTAAAAACTTACATGGCCATCTACCTTATACAAGATAACTCTAAGCAGCTGCCGTGATATTAAATCAAACTTGAATAAAGAAAATAAATCAACTGCACAACAGCACGACATATCCCCAACACAGCACCACAACATCATAAACAGTAGCCTCTTCATGCTCTTACATTTGCTAGGCTCGCTTCTATCATAGCCCAGATCCTGGATGAAGCATCAGGTCTTCTCAGCTCGCCAAAAGGCTAATAGTTTGTAGTACACAAATAATTTCCTACTACTTGAAAAAGCAACACATAAAGCTGAAATAAGAGCCTCAAGATAGCAAATCAGTGAAAAACACTCAAAAATAGTCCAATTCCTTCCCTAAACCAGGGAACAAATGGAAAATCCAGGTGGCACACACTTGAATGGCAGCAACATCTAATTCTAAGTATAGCCCTAGTCACCAAACTATTAAGATCCTTGAAACAGTCTAATATTTCTTCCTTTGATATTTTAATTTTGTAGCCAAAATTATCCTTCTTACAAATTTGTTAAAAATAATCTCCTGCTAACTACAGCATTCTACTTTATCTTTTAAAAAATACTCTTTCCCTTTTACCTTTGTTCTCCTGCACAGATAACTGATAGCTTGTTACACCACGCAAAGTTTCAAGGCTTGAATAGATGACATCCTAAGTTGGAAGCACTATATCTGCTGTGTCTATGGATCCACAGGTAGAGGACCGGGTGTGTCATTCATCTTTCAATGTTCAGCAGGCCAACCCACAACTCTAAGATAGAATTTCACATCAAGGAGACAAACGTAAAATCAACTGGTGAATCATTGATCAGATATGCTCTTATCCAAGATCTGACTTAAGCTTTCATGTGTTGTGATTGTAGTCATTGACATTCAAGATACTGGTTCAAGGAGTAAGGGAGCCAGTGTAATCTTATGGTTAAGGTTTTGGATGAGGATTGGGGTTCAAACTCTTTTTAAGAAATTGAAGCTTACATGAAAAACTTTGGATCATACTTTCTCAGGCCATCTTTCCTTACAAGGTTCTTGTTGTGGAGATAAAACGAAGACTTCAGCTCTTGGAGGGAAAGTGCAATGTAAGTTCAACCAGCAATTAAACGAATGTATGGAATAAGTATTTGCATACACATAAAGGCCAACTAGGATTTTTTTCTGCCACATATGTCCTTGAGGTATTTTATCTGAAGTGTTGTATTATAGCCAGAAAAATGCTTTAACTTCCTTCCTTCCTTCCTTCCTTCCTTCCTTCCTTCCTTCCTTCCTTCCTTCCTTCCTTCCTTCCTTCCTTCCTTCTCTCACTCAAAGAATGTTTCTGCTTTTTAAAAACATGTTTAATTTTAGTTTTATAATACATTTACAAAAAGAGAAACATGAAAAACACTGCAGAGTTAAAAAGATCTTACAAGGTAGTAATGTTGATTTTATTCTCTTTTCTGGACCCAATTCAGCTAAGAAGATGCCTTTGTGTATACTGTGCATTCCTCTTGTATCACTCATTGACTTGAGAATCAGAATTTAAACTGGATGGAAATCAAAGAATGGAAAGTATATGCAATTATATGCCTTTACAGTGAAAATGAATATACAGGTTTTAATGCCACTTAATTTTTGTCCTGTGTCTGGTGATGCAAATATTTGGAATACAGAAATATAGACTAGAGGCAAATCAAATTCAACAGGATATGGAAGAAGGTAATATTTCTTGCAAATGAGCTAGACAGTGCAGTAACAGTTGAATTCTTCAACCAACCTAACACCAAACTTATTGCTTGTAATTGAAGTGAATAAATTTTAGCTAGCTTATGTTATGGTCTAAAATGCTATGTTTATTTGCAGACTGGGTGTACCAATATAAAAGTTTCCCAATGTAAAATTTCCCCTTTCAAAATTAGAGTCCTGTCTCTGAACTTGAAAGGAGGAAATGTGACCAAACTTATGGCTCCTGAAATAATGTTTTTCTTAATATGAAAGAGACAGCATTACTTGAAAAATGTTGTGGCATATAGGACTATCCAATGGACTGAAATATTGTTATATTTTAGACATTAATAAGTGAGTACCAGTAGGCAATACTTTCTTTGCCAGTGAAAATATTAATCTGAAAATATTTTGCATCCTTCTTTCCCAAGGATTAATGGATAGATGTAATTATTATGGATAGTGTATTGAACCATGTAGTGTGCTATGGTCCATGGTTTCACAAAGAGTTGGACATGACATAGTGATTGAACAATAACAATAAACTATGGTTTGGGTATTTTGGCCAAATTTGGATGGGGCTTGTTGCATAACAAACCTGTGCTGAAAACCAATACTAGGAAATGCAGCAAAGTCCTAACTAATCTTCTAACAGATTTAATAAAACACTTCCCCAAATCTGAGATCTTCTAGACCAGGGATTCTCAACCTTGGCAACTTTAAGACTTGTGGACTTCAATTCCTTATGTGGGATAAACTGGACCTGAAAGAGGCAAAAGACTTAATGAGGTTCCAAACAGGGGCTGATGCATCAGAGTTTCTCTTTTTAAAGGAGAATTTAATTATGTAAGATTAAAAGATTTATTCTTACTAAGAGTCTGACTGTAAATATTCAAACTTACTAACTCTCAATTTGGATTTTTGGATGTATGCACTCATAAGTTAAAATCATAGATGTATTTAGTAGAATTGGGACCCAGCCAATCAACCTGTTATTCCTTGAAAATAACTATAATAAAATACTCTAAAAAAACAACTGTATGTTTGTATGTCAAATGTATCCACTATTACAACATTTAATGATAACACTTCATGTTGCAGAAGAATATTGAGGTTTCAGAATATTCTGGAACTCTGTTGGCTAATTCACTGTACACAAGGTTTAGAAAAAAGCAAAGCCTTCTCCGCTTAGATTATCTTCTTTGTAAAAGAATATTTTTTATAATTAACACCTTTTATAGACATGCTATAAAAATCATCAAACAAGAAAATAGCTTTCAGGTGGAGCTACATATCCTCCCACGCATTCAAAATTAGCATTCATCCCTTCATTAATATATAAAATATGGTCTTTCTTGTTTTACTGCTTCCACAAAAGGTCTAATTATGTATAAGCCATTAATAAGTGGGTGTACTACAGCTGTGTCACATTTGGCTGTTGGATGACATGCTAGGGATTGCATGCAAAAACATTGACAGAACCAAGACCAAGACCAAGAAGTCTGGTATAATTTTAACTTACAAATACAAACATACAATTAAAATATTTTTTCCTCTTAAATTTAACCATTTTCTTCTTTACCTACACATTTACAATGTAATGGTGACTTCTGGAGTAACAGGAGAGAAAGAGAAAAGAATGGAACAAGAGAAGGAGGAGGAGAAACAACTGTGTTTTACACATAACTGATAGAGCTACAAGTGGCTTCATTCTGGTGCCAGACTATTGCTGTTTTGGGAAATGCATGTCAAATCAGAATACATAAATAAAGTAAAATTGATAAATAAATAAGCAGTATTTCTTGGATTAGGAGACCCATCAAATGTTTGCTCTTACCAGGGAGCTTGACTCCCTCTTCTTTGTGGCAGCCCCTAAGATTTTGGAACACTGCTCTCATGTCCCCCCTCATCCTTCTCTTTGTTAAACTAGGCATACCCAATTCCAGCAGCCGTTCTTTATATATGTTTTAGCCTCCAGTCCCCTAATCATCTTTGTTGCTCTCCTCTGTACTGTTTCTAGAGTCTCAACATCTTTTTTACATCATGGTGACCAAAACTGGATGCAGTATTCCAAGTGTGGCCTTACCAAGGCATTGTAAAGTGCTCTGACTTCTTATTGAGATGTTCAAATTCTCAAGTTTTGAACTTTCTCATTCTTACCTTTCCAACTGAATTTTTTAAAAATGGATTCCACGCAAGAGCAGAAATGACCGTTGACATTAAATTGCCTGCAGAATATGGTGCAGGTAGCCTTCAATTTATGACCAATTTATTTATTTCTTTATAAAATTTATTGGCCGCCCATCTTACCATAGGCCAGAGTAACTCTGAGCAGCATACAATCATAAAATGGTTATACATATACACTAAAACATAAAAACATTAAAACCAAACATTAAAATCTAAGGACCTGTGGGGAGGGCAGGGGCTGAGTGTGTGGAGATGGGACCAACCACCTCCACCATTGAGCCCAAAATTTCTGCTGCTAAGCAAGACATCTGTTAAGTAACTTTTGTCCCATTTTATGAGACATGCCACAGTCGTTAAGTTAATCAATGCAGTTGTTAAGTTAGGAGCACGGTTGTTGTGAAAATCTGGTTTCCCACAATGACTTTGCTTCTCAAAAGGTCACAAACATGTGACCACATGACTCCAGGACACTGCAACCATCATAACTATGAGTCAGTTGCCAAGCTTCTGAATTTTGATCATGTGACACACACACACCATGCTGCAATGGTCATATGAAAAACAGTCATTACTTTTTTCAGCACAGTTGTAACTTTGAATCGTCACTAAAGGAATGGTTATAGGTCAAGGACTACCTGTAATCAATTTCCACATTGATCTTAAAATAAATGAGATTAAGATGAAATTAAATTATCTTTGGCTATGCTTCCCAGTATTTCCACATACAAAGTAAGGAATGCAGACAGAAATCAGATCAGCGGAGAGGAGCATTCATTATAATTTAATACCATTCACACAACACCTGCATATAAGAAAGTTGCCTGAATTGAGTACTATACACTTTGCTGCAAGTTATATTTTGCATTGCCAATACAGAAAAACAGCAATAATGTATCTGGAATGAATGGACAGACCTTATGGGTTGCAGTAAGAGAAATGGGACCTAACAGCATAGATCTGTATATCCTTTGCTACAGGGGAGGTATTTGAATGCTGTTCTTGATTTACGACCTCAGTTGGGACTAGAATTTTGACCGTAAGTAGTTGCAATCATAAGTCGAAGTACCCATGTGACTGAACCTGATTTTTTAAATTGTTTTTACACTAGCTGTTAAGCAAATCACACAGTTGTAAGTCTGAATAAATAGGTCTTAAACAAATCCATTTTGTTTAATCCATATGGGCCTTTCTTTGCCAGATATGGGCAAAAAGTCACAAATCTTGGCCATGTGACTGTGGGACACTGCAACCAGTCCTAAATGCCAGCCAGTTGCCAAAGGCCCAAAAGTCATGTTTTACAATGGCTGTAAGCTCCCTTTCCAAGGCCACGTAACTTTGATCTATCATTAAACAATTGATTGTAGGCCATGGATTATCTTTGTAAATTGTGTTTTGTAATGGATATTGCAGTTCCACAGCTACTGTTTATTATGTTGCTGGAATTTGTAAATGGGCTGGAGGGGTATTTGCATTCATGTGCTGTTTTTGAGCATAACGTCTGAGCACAACAGTGTATGGACAAGAGATTGAATTCTCAAAGCATTCATCAAACCGAGATCTTTCAAGGAACTTGTTTCATCTTGTGCATTCAGACTTTAAGTCTACTTCCTAGGCCCACAGGAGAAATCTGTTTTTCATGAAAATAAAGAAATCCACTTAGTAGAAAGACAACTTGTTTAGACTACAAGATTACATTGTCAATAGGACAAAGATAAACACTTTTGCATCTCTTACTAAACAAAGTTCTCCTATATTCAATTGGTTCCAACATCTTCAAATAAGTTGTACTACAACAGATGAACTATAGAAACAAGGGAGAACATAACAGGACTGGAATGGATTTGAACATCTTAAAATATTGAACATCAGTTAAGGTGCAATCTATAAATTACACTGAAGTTATGATTTAGAATCTGAACAAGTTAAAATATGATAAAATGGATGTAGAACTTGAACAGAGATGAAAAGATGCAGCAGTGTGAATTTCAGTTGAAGACCAATATATTTACTTTGATCACCATACTTCGAATTGGTATTATATGTTCTAATATTGGTATATTACTCCAGTCTTGATTGCTAAAATAAATGTTCTGAAAATGTAGTGAGCAGGTTTTTTTATACATGAAGGCAGCATTGTAAAGTCTAATACTGAAGAATAATTCATAGGAGAATGGGACACTTTTGAAGGTAATAATTGCATTACAAACATATTTTTATTCAATTTATCTAAACCATATATTTCTTCAAAATTCACTGAATTTTCTTTTATATATTGATAGCTGCAACAATTTTATATGCTTTCTATAATTTCTTCTTTGAAATAATGGCTAAATTGTGGAGCAGGCTTCAATGACTGAAATATTTGTCTATTCAGGTCCTTGGTGCTCTCTCAACTTAATTGTTTTCTTGCAGACTTTTCATTACCCAAACTAGATAACATCATCAGTGTTTTATAAGAAAACAACCAAACTCAGAAAGCTCTAAGGACCCCTTATTTCAACCCTGAGCTACAAATATTCTCCTTTATCGAATTACATCTTAATTTGGTTTATAACTTTTGGTACTGATCTAATGTATTGTTTACTCTTTAGAGTTTTGTACTATATTATCCAAGTATATTCCATTTAAAGTTTTATAGGGATAATTATAGGGAAAGGAACTTAGCAGAATAAGCTGTAGGCTTACTTTCTCAGAGGTTTTACCAGTGTATAAGGAGCAAAACGGAAAAGGCCAGCGCATAGCACAATTCAATATGGGCTAAAGGAGTGGTGTAAAGGGGAAGGCTTTGGATATATTAGTCACGATGTCAGTAGCTGGTCCAATCAAAAGATGTACAAAAGAGATAGTTTGCATCCATCAAAAAAAGGGACTGAGTTACTCGGCTATAAATTCACAGATTTTCTGGAGGGAAATTTAAACTAAACAGCGGGGACAGGGAGTTAATTGATACGGAACAACCCTGTCCCCGGCAATTTAAAAACTATAGGGCTATCAGTGCATGTAGCATAGATGTGTGTGTGGACAAGAATACCAACCTTGCTATCAATCAAAATGAAGCCTCTAATAGCGAGTGCCACATAAAGTGCACTAACCAAATAGGTGGTAAGACAATAGGGGAACTCAGGCACCACACAGGCTATGTAGAAAGGAAACACAGGGCCACCCACAAAGGACTCAAATGTTTATACACCAGTGCACAGAGTATGAACAGCAAACAGGGTGAACTAGAAATTCAGGTTAATGAGGGCAGATATGATATTGTTGCCATTACGGAAACATGGTGGGATGAAACTCACACATGGAACACACAGCTAGAGGGATTTAAATTATTTAAAAGAAACAGACCAAATAAAAGAGGAGGTGGAGTTGCTCTCTATATAAGAAATAACTACATCTCCACAGAAATAGAGTACAACAATGATAAAAACTGTCTTGAATGCATTTGGGTCAATATAAAAGGGGGGGGAAATGACATTGCCATAGGTGTATACTACAGACCACCCAACCAAACAGAGGAAATAGATGAACTTTTTGCCAGTCAGCTAACTAAGGTATGTAGGAAGCACATCACAATAGTAATGGGGGACTTTAACTACCCTGACATCAACTGGGAGACAAACTCCGCACCAAGTGGAAGATCAAACAGGTTCCTGGCAAACCTAGCAGACAACTTTGTCTCCCAAAAAGTAGAGAAGGGAACTAGGGGATTAGCCATCTTGGATCTAATTCTCACTAACAGAGATGAAATGATAGACGGTGTTGAAGCCATAGGAACCCTGGGAGGAAGTGATCATGCAATATTAGAATTCAACATTATAGAAGCACAACCAATAGAACACAGTCAAACTAGAGTCTTGGACTTCAAGAGAGCTAATTTCAATAAACTTAGAGAGGGCTTGGGAAGGATTCCATGGATGAGAATCCTCAAGGGGAAAACAACTCAAGAAGCTTGGGAAATTTTGAAAAATGAGATAATAAAAGCACAGTCTAGCACAATACCAACAAAGAGGAAAAACAACAGCTCTCAAAAGAAACCAGCATGGCTGCATAAAGAACTCTCTGACAAATTGAAAGATAAAAAGGACAAGTATAGAAAGTGGAAAGAGGGGAACATAACTAAGTCAGAATATCAGCAAATAGCCCGAGCCTGCAAAGATGAAGTGAAGAAAGCCAAGGCTCAAAATGAACTAAGGCTTGCGACCAAAGTCAAAAATAACAAAAAAAGCTTCTTTCAACATGTAAAAAACAAGAAAAAAGTGAAGGAAACGATTGGTCCATTAGTGGGTGGAAGTGGCAAGAAGGTGACAAACAACAGGGAGAAAGCAGAACTATTTAACTCGTGTTTTGCATCTGTCTTTACACAAAGGGAAAAAACAGACCAACCTATTAAAAATACTGCCATAAAAAACAAAACAGAAACACAAGTTAAGATAGGCAAGAAAATGGTTAGGGAGCACCTGTCCAGCCTAGATGAGTTCAAATCGCCAGGACCAGATGGATTACACCCCAGAGTTCTCAAGGAACTGGCAGATGTAATATCGGAGCCACTGAACTATATTTTTCAAAGATCCTGGAACACAGGGGAACTACCAGAGGACTGGAAAAGAGCTGATGTAGTTCCCATCCTCAAAAAAGGAAAAAAAATGGATCCAGGAAATTACAGACCTATCAGCCTGACCTCAATACCTGGGAAGATCCTGGAAAAGATAATCAAACAACGAATCAACGAACACCTAGAGGCAAACAAAGTCATTACTAAAAGCCAACATGGGTTTGTCAAAAATAGATCATGCCAGACAAATCTTATTGCATTCTTTGACCAAGTGACAAAATTAGTGGATCAGAGGAATGCTGTGGACATAATTTACTTGGACTTCAGTAAGGCATTTGATAAAGTAGATCACAACCTACTACTTGACAAGATAGAAAAATGTGGGGTAGACAGAACCACCACCAGATGGATCCGTAGCTGGCTGACCGGCCGTACTCAGCGAGTGGTCCTCAATGGAACTGCATCTATATGGAGGGAAGTGTGTAGTGGGGTGCCCCAGGGCTCTGTTCTGGGCCCAGTACTCTTCAACATCTTCATCAATGACTTGGATGAAGGGATAGATGGGGAACTCATCAAATTTGCAGACGACACCAAGCTGGCAGGAATAGCCAACACTCCAGAAGACAGGCTTCAGATACAGAAGGATCTGGACAGACTTGAACACTGGGCACTAACTAACAAAATGAAATTCAATGGTGAAAAAAGCAAGGTTCTACATTTAGGCAAGAAAAACCAAATGCACAAGTACAGCATAGGTGGCACCATGCTCAATAGTAGTAACTGTGAGAGGGACCTCGGAGTCCTAGTAGACAATCACTTAAATATGAGCCAGCAGTGTGCTGCAGCTGCCAAAAAGGCCAACACAGTGCTAGGCTGCATTAACAGAGGGATAGAATCAAGATCACGTGAAGTATTAATACCACTCTTCAATGCCTTGGTAAGGCCACACTTGGAATACTGCATCCAGTTTTGGTCACCACGATGTAAAAAAGATGTTGAGACTCTAGAAAGAGTACAGAGAAGAGCAACAAAGATGATTAGGGGACTGGAGGCTAAAACATATAAGGAACGGTTGCTAGAATTGGGTATGTCTAGTTTAACGAAGAGAAGGACAAGGGGGGACATGATAGCAGTATTCCAATATCTCAGGGGCTGCCATAAAGAAGAGGGAATTAAGCTATTTTCCAAAGCACCTGAAGGCAGGACAAGAAGCAACGGGTGGAAACTAATCAAGGAGAGAAGCAACCTAGAACTAAGGAGAAACTTCCTGACAGTGAGAACAATTAATCAGTGGAACAGCTTGCCTCCAGAAGCAGTAAATGCTCCAACACTGGAAGTTTTTAAGAAGAGACTGGACAGCCATTTGTCCGAAATGGTGTAGGGTTTCCTGCCCGAGCAGGGGGTTGGACTAGATGACCTCCAAGGTCCCTTCCAACTTTACTATTATTATTATTATTATTATTATTATTATTATTATTATTATTATTATTATTATTATTATTATTTGCACCTTTTTTTACATGTATTATACTTGTTTTTCTTCATATTAGAAATATTACATAAAGTCAAGAGAAGATGACATCTTGTAATAACAAAATAATTGACTCTAAACACTTGAATCCATTTTTGATGTCACAACTGTAAACAGGCCGTTCAGGCATGTCTGCCCTGAAAATTAAACATTTATTAAGCATTCAGAATTAAAGCAGAACACAAACAAGAAAACCACCTTGTGAGTCGGTCATAAATATAGTCCATTTATTTAAAATATTGGTAGTCAATATTAATAGCTTATTTCAAATAAAAAAAAAGGTTTCCCTGGTTATATCTAAATATGCTTGCATTGTAATAGACTGGCAAGGAATTCTGGGAGTTGTAGTGCCAGCACATTTGAAGACAAAAGGACTAGGGAAGGCTCACATAAAACATGGGTGGTCAACATAAGACAGAAGAACATCAAATTTCTGGGGACAAATTGCTAAACTATTTATAACTAAATGCTTAGTTTCAGACATCCAATATGCTGCCTGTTGCCTTGTTTTACAAACAAAATTCTATGAAACTGTAGAAGGAGCTTCTTATATAGTGCTCTTTAAACAGAGTGACATTTTTTCATACCTTGGACTTCTCTACTGCCACTCACTCTGAAATAGCCTTTCTGATAAGCAGTGGAGAGATGGTTTGGTAAATGCCACCCATCAAATCAGTCTTAAGGTCCAAAATTGTTTGAAAACCCCATGAAATTCATATATTTTTGAATTTGGGAGGTTTGGAACTATCTGGATCCTGTTCTCCAAACAAGGGAGAAAACTCACCAATCCTGGAGTTAAGACATTTCATCTGCTCCTCAGTTCCAGCCCTGTAACATTGCTCTAGCTGGACTTTGGAATGGGCGGTTCAGTTGCCATAGATTGACCTTCTCCGTCTGAACCTGGTTACTCTGCAATGGGATTGTACCTGCCCGTGCGAGCAAATAGCAAACAATTGTTTGCATTAATGAGATCAGGTTGCATTGAAGGAATTTTGCTCCTCAGTGGGATTACAGTTTTGTTCGTACAGGTAGAGTACTATTAAAACGCCTGGATACATAGAACAAAAATTCACCAGAAGTTAATACGGCCTGAAAATTAATCTCAAAACAAACAACTTATTTACAATGTACAAAGGAATGAAGTCATAAAGGCAAAGCACAAAAAGAAAATATTAAAGAACAGTTTTGTATGCGTGTAAACATACGCCTGTGCATGACTTTTTGACTGCACTCTGAGCTTGTCACATACAAGTGTTTTCAATTAAAAAGCTTCAATAAAGCTTTACAAGTTTCAAAGTCTTTTTCTAATGCAAAAAGCTGTACAGCTTCATTAGGCTATATGCGCAATTAATGCACAGATTTTTTAAAAAAATAATTCACATTTAAGGAACATATTTTTACATGAACAGATAATTAGAATCTTACTAGAATGGTTTCATTTACATGAATTAAAATATAAATATATACTGTAGAAGTACTTTCAAGTGTAACTGCCATACTAAACAAATATTTTAAAGTATACTGTACATTCTGTACATACACATACTTCTTTAACGAAGTATTAAGCATTTCAGAATAACCAATTTTGTACATCATATTAATAGGCTAATTTTAAAAATTAAAGTGGAAATTAGTGAACATGTAGTATTTTAAAATTTCACTGTTATGAATAAGAGAGTCTCTTGCAATAGCTTCAGCATGATTTGAAGCTTAAGGATAGTTACCTCATTGAAGTAGCTCCTTTCATTTTAATAGTTCTAATAAACACACACATTTTCCGATTCAAGGAATATATTCTCATATAGGATATTAAATATACACATATTCTGAATCTTCCCTTTTCCCCCTAACACGTAGAAGTTTTAGATTTGTTCAAACACAGAAAGGCTATGGATGTGTTGAATGCAAACATTCAATTGCTGATGAAAGCAGCCGTGTTATGATTATGTGCCAAAGTTAACTGGTACAAAGAGATCCTGCTCTGCAAAAGCAGGCAACCTCATTTAAGAACCAGTAGGACAATTCCTTTATTCTTTCCAGTGCCATTAGAGATTCAAATGTGGGGTGATTTTTTACCATTTAAAAACAAATTTTTGAGCCGATCATTGTAATGGCTAGGTTTACATAACTCTTAAGTTACAGATTATCTCACCATGGTTTAATTGAATAAACTACAATTGGTTGGATTTAAGCAACACGCAAAAAAGTACGCCGCAGTTTATAAGCCACAGTTACTGAGTTCATACGGTACCCTACCCTAAAACCAAATGTATTACATCTCCGCAGAGCTTCTATAACTGAGCATTCCCTAGATATGTGGATCCTAATTCCAGGGATATTTGTTAGAATTCTGGCAGTCTACATATTTGAGAAAAGCCAGCATTGTGGAAGACTAGATTAGTGCAATATGTTCATTTAGTATCTGAGTTCAAATTAGCGCATTTATAGAAAGCTAATCAAGTTTTCAGTCCCTACTCTTTTATAAGCTATCAACCAACAAGTCAGCAAGTAGGCAGTTGCTTTCTACATCTGTTGAGTTCCTCATAGTTCTGATTCTTTCTCATACTCATGCAGATAATATTCATCATCTGTGGTGGTATCAGAGTCTGAATCTGAAGAATATGCAGAGGCTTCTTCATGGAAATCAAAAGGTTCATTTGGGAACTGTTCTTCTGTAGCACTTGATTTCAACAGCTCCAACCCGTTTAAGGAACACACATCTTCCCTTTTAATGGACCTGAAGTTCTTTAAAAGACATGGATTCCACAACCGCCCTTCCGTGAGTGACCTCTTTATGTTATCTAAGAAAGCCTGCTGTTGTTCTTTTCCAAAAATACCAAATTCAATTGAGGGGTACATGATAGGTCGCGAACCAAAGTTCCTTTTATTCTCCTTGTATGTGTCCCAGTTCTCATTTTCATCACAGGACAACAGTTCAGAATAGGACTTAATTTTCCGATTATATCCAGACTGTGTCAGATTGTTTTTAGGGGGCAAATAATCATGGAGTTTTTGTGTATAGGAACATTCAGAAAAATGTCGTTCACGCTGGGTTTTGTTGGGATTTAGAACTGGCTTGGAACAGGATTGGTTTACATTTTTAAAGATGTCTGACTGCTCGTTATCTTGATAACCATCACATTCTGCTTTAGAAGTCAATTTTTGCAGTGGAGAAATATTTGTTTTTGAATTGTTTTTAATGTATGCATGTTTATCAGACAAAAGTGGAAAAGATGAAAGCTCACCAACATTACAGTGACCTTTTTTTTGAGGGCAAGCATCCATTCCTGCGGATTTGGAGAAAATGGGATGGCTGTTATTTTCTAAAACTTTGCTACCTGTCTGTAAATTGTTGTTTAGCACAGGCATAATTGATTTTGAAAATAGGATGGTAGAATTTTGGATGGTCTTCATATTTTTATCACTTTGCCCAGAATGTTCTCTTTTTTGGTTGCACAAGTTAGTCAAAGGCCTCCTATCTTCATTAGTTTGCAATTTCTTAGTTTCAACTTTACTCAGCCTTGGAATATCAAATTCACCAGGTAGAGAAACCTGATTCTGATTCTCATTCCCTGTTTGCTGGGAATCATTGGGTGAAATCAACATGGGATGATGGCTGCTTTTCTCTAATGAAAGTGCATCATTTTGTGAAAATATGCAACTTACGTGTGGTTTGGGACTTGAGCTTTTCCTATTAGAAAACTTTCGACTTGTTCTGCACATGGCTGCTAGTTTGTTTTTAACTGAAGGCCTATTTTTCCTTTTTTCTATGTCATTAACTTTATTTTTAAGGCTATCCAGGGCAAGCTTACTTTCAGGTAGTAAATGCTCTGGCAAGTCCTGGGTAGGACCTGATGGCTTACCTTTAGAGCTAAGGTTCTCATTGTCCACACAGACTCTTTCAGACCTCTGTAAATTTGTGCCAACTTTGCGGAGTGCAGGACTTTGAGGCATCTCCTGCTCTTCAGGCTTTGAACATTCTACCACATTCCCTTTTGGATGAATGACCACATTAGCTGAAAAAGCAGCATCCCCTGGCACCGTTAAATTCTGGGAAGCTGAATGCATCTTGCTTGTTGAAATGGATGTTTCACTTCTGACACTTTCATTTCTCGGTGGAAACCGATGTCCCCTTTCAGAAATAATGCGACATATATAACGAGCCCTTTCTTTGATTTCTGCAGCATTTCTAATTTTTTCTTTAGTGACATTTACTCGAGTGCCAACTTCTGGACATGCAGTGGGTTTTCCGTCCTGGATAACGTCAATTAAATTGGAAGGAGGAATGCTTGCTGATGCTTCAGCAGATGGCTGTCTATAGCCAGGACCCCCTTTATGACCATTTATTGCAGAAGAAACTGCAGAAATATCCCCCAAAGAGGTACTTTTGGAATTCAGTGAGTTAAGACGTAAGTTTTTATCAAGCTTTGAGGAGTCTGTCCATGGAGAAGAGCGCCTGCCAACATGCAGGTTGGACAAAATATTGGTGCTAACTGTTTCAACCTCTTTTCTGCTGGGTTTGGGGCCACCTGGAGAACCATCCACAGGTGGCCTATTGGAAATTGCAAGTCCCAGCTCTTCTGCTCCTGATACAGCTATTTCCTTTTTATTATTCATTGAACAATGTGCTGGAGAAACACCTGCTGTTTCCATAATGGGATTTGAAACTTGGAGAACTTTAATAGGATTGCCTATATTTTTTGAATCCTGTTGTATATCAGGAGCAGGTATTTTGTCAGGAGAAATAACTTTTTCTCCTTTTTCTAAGCTGGGTGGGAAAGCTACAGTTGTCATACCGACATGAACTTCATACTGCTTTTGAGGAGTCTGCGATTTTTCTGGGGACGCGGATGAATCTGCCTTTTTGGTATCTACTCGGAAGGCATTGCACAAAGCTTGTGAATGTTTCCGTGGTAAAGTATAATAAACCGAAATCAATTCATGGTATTTTACATTATCTTCATCTATGCTTACTGTCAATTTGCTGGTGGTTTTATATTGCTTTAAAGGATTTTCTGCCCCCGTTTCCTCGTTTTCAGAAGAAAGAAAAATTGCTTTCTCTGCATCAAGCATCTCATCTCTTTTTTTCCGTTTGCTGCCAATTATATTAGTACTCCCTGATGGGCAGTTAGGAGCTTGAATTAAATGCATGTGATACTTTTTAATTTGTTTATTTTTTTCTTCCACCATTTCTTTGGACAATATGTTTAAGGATGAGCAGGATGAGCTGAACAAAGAGCTTTTATCTCCCTTATTTGAATAAATATTCCCAAGTCTGCTTGGTACATGGGCTTCTAAGTTATCCTCCCCCATCCTCTTATTTCTGAAAGGGATCTTCCTTGTAGAGGGAGAGATGCGTTTTTTAAAGAGATCACTCCCATCAATACTAGCTGATTTTTGAAATAATGTCTTATGTGTTTTAGGAGATTTGAGAGGGCTGCTGCTGGGTGAGGCACTAATACTATTACTAGTTGAATATCTAATAAATCTATTTGGTTTATGGAGTGTTTCAGCATAAGAAACTGGGAAATCATTGTTTGGAAGTACTTTGGAGTCTTCAATGAAAACAGGGTTTAACATCTTGTCCGGGTTAAATGCTTTCAAAGTTTCCAACCGGTGCTCCTCTTGAGGGTTATTTTGAAGAATTGACAGCTTTGAAGGATTAGCAATAAGGTGTGGGGGACATGCTTGCTTTACACCGTTGCTTTCAGTACTGTTGACTTCATTTCTTTGGCCATTTTTACTGTGAATATTTGATAAACAAATGTTTTCAATGCGCCTTAAGGGATTTGCCTTGGCTTGCCTTTTTGAATTTAATATAAAAGGTGGATGGAGAGATCTGCTCATAGGAGGGGCAGCTTGAGAAGAGACTGTAGGAGGAGACATCTGAGATTCTGTTGGATTGTTTGTTTTTATTTGTCCAAATGCTTGAATTAATGTTGGCTTTTTTATGTCCATACTATCCACTTTATCTGACTGATCAGCACCAATCATCTCTTCCATGCCACTCATTTTTGAGCCCTTCTTGGTTTGAAAGGGTTTAACAGATGTCTTTGAAGGAACTTGACTATCCCCACTAAAATGACTTTGACTTGGTTCGACATATTCAGTTTGGTTCTCCAAAGCAGTTGAGACATAAGTTGCACCTTTTTGCATGCCTCTTGAATCCTTTACAAGCAATTTGTTAATTGCTCTTCCTTGATGGTCCCTACTCTTTGTGTATTCTGAAACATGGTCATGCATATGTTCATTATGCCATACGTCTCTTTTTTTTCCATAGTCACTTCGCCGCTCAATCAGCTGTTCAAAGTTTACATCAGGGACATGGTTAGCATCACTGAAATACTGATGATTATCACGTCTAAAAGGATACTCCTCTGTTCTTCCAAAAGGAAAATTGTTTGGGGACCGATTCATTTTACCATGAAATGATGGGTATCTGTAACATGGCTTTGAAACATTTTTCAATGGATGTAACATAAAATTCTCCCGACTGTTGAAACACAGAGGGTCTATTCGTCTCTCAGTGAATAAAGGATGGCTCTTATTTGGTATTACTTGTCTATAATTCATTTTTGACCTATAAAATTTATACCTTGTATTTTCCTCTGGAGAACAAGGATGGGAGTCCTCGAACGCTGAGTTAAATTCTATTAATGACTGTGTTCTACGAAGTCTGTCTGAATGTAGTGAATGCCTAGAAGACTGTGGTATATTCCATATAATAGATGAAAGAGGAATCCGTCTGGACTGATGCTGGAAATTGAATTTTGTGAAGTCCGTATTGCTTTCCGAATCGTGCTGTAAGCTACCAGTGGAAAACATGTCAGCAGACATCAAAGACGAGCGCCTTGTAAGGCAAGACAAAGAGTAACTTCTGCCCATTTTATTGTTGGACATGAAGTTCTTAGGACCAAATCCATTACTGTATGATCCTGATGGAAATGCCAACCTATCTTCTGAAGAATATCCAAGAGAACAAGCAGAATATCCTCTCTTTAAAAAAGAAGATCTTTCATCACACAAATCCCCATATGGGTATTTTTCTATGTGATGTTGCTTTGTATAGGTATCATAAAGCCTCCTTGGTGTGAAGAAACTTTTGTATTTATTTCTGGCTCCTAATGTCCTTGTTCTATCTGGGGAAAACAGGTTCTGGTCATTTCTCTGTACTTCTCCAAGGAAATTTGGTTGCACAACAGTGGAATGATGATGGATTTTTGGTGCTGTAGAGCCATAGTTAATTGGAGTTCTTGTATTCACAGTATCTTGAGATTGTTCTTGTGCCAGTTGGCTATCCAAACTGTCCAAAACTGGTGAATAGAGAAGAAGGAAGGAATTAATTTTATTTTTCAATATTGACATAGATAAATCAACCTGCGGTGAGTTATTGTTCTACACAGATAAAATCCCATATATATATTAATTATGATACTAACATAAGAACAGATATACTTAAAAGTTTTTGATACACAATGTTAGAGTCATTTATTAAATACACAATTTTTTTTGTCTAAATTATTCTATGAGACTTTTGTCATTTTTATTGAAATGCAATTTTCTTACAAGTTAAAACAGGTTAAAATCATAGAAAACATTACAAAATTAGTAAGTTAGATTGCATGAATGTTGTTCCATATGTTACTGATTTTTCTCTAATCTGAATTCAAAGCTAATATGCTTGGCCCATTCTGTTGAAAGCAGCTTGCAGAATTCATAACATCCATACAATATACTTGGATAAATGAATATACAATTGCTTGCTGACTGTTCCTTTGAGTTAAATATTAAATCTAATTCCATTTCAAGAACACTTTCTAACTGCCAAGAATGTGGAGAGAATAATTTGCAGAGTATTTTCACCTTGGGGATACAAGGTGTAATTATAATTTTTTGTGCTGCATGTGTTAGCCTGCTTTTACCATTCCTTAGTTCATTTAGGGAAAACAAGAATAACCTTTTTCATATCAATTATTTAACCAAGGTACAAAAATAAACACCTTAAGGGAGCAAAGTCTAACTCTCCTACAATGACTTGCTGTGGTCTCTGAAGCACCATCTAATCACACCACTGAAATTCAGCAACAACCTGACAATACTGTGCTTTTTATGTGCTTTTCGGTGCAAATTAAGATCAAGCCAGGCATCATTTCTCCATGAATGGGATTTTAAATGTTTATTTTATCCCTTATCTTCAAGTCCAAAATTGAAAAGAATGGGTTTATTCTGCGTCCTCTGGTGAGGTCATCTTATCCCTAGCCATAATGTCTATGGCAGTGTTTCTCCACCTAGGCACCTTAAGATATGTAGGCTTCACCCTCTAGAATTCCTCAGCTAGCCTTGGGGGGGGAGGGGCTTGAAGTCCATATATCTTAAAGTTGTTGAGATTGAGAAACACTGCTGTATGGGCTCAAAATCTGAAAAGATCAGCACCCAAGTAGACAGTATTTTTTTTGGTCTCTGCTCTGTGAGGAAAAATAGGAATATTTGAATATTTTAACGTGGAGAAAAAGATTAAAGAGAAACATCAGAAAGTTTAAGAGAGTCCTGGAATTTCTGGAGAGACTGTTATGGTTGCCCCCACATCATCTGAACTTCTCCACTTGCTTTTAGAGAGTGTGTTTCCTTCTTTACCTTGGTGGGTAGTGAGGATTACAAAAGTGCTGCAGAGAATGTACTACAGAAACTACACACAACGTTAAATAACAGGTAGATGAAGCTTTGAGGAAGCAGAGCCAGTTATCCCACTGGGATGGCAAGGAAAAAGATGAACTACATTTCAAGGGCTATCTTTTGTCCTCCACTGATTCAACCTTATAATTCAGTGTAGTCTTTTCAAACAACACTAATAGAACTACTGTATGTTGGTTGATGGTGGGTTGTTTGGTAGCCTTCCTGGACAATGAGACCCAATTAATGTCCCCATGCAGCAACAGTAGTACCAATGTAGCTAACCATACTCAAAATTTTTTATGAGTGTCAGTTCTTGTCTGAGTAGATTGCGTTAATACCTGAAGGTAAGCAGGATAGCTATAGATAAATTGGAAAGTAATAATCCCACTAATTCATTTATTACTCCACTCAGAGGATCTAAGTGAAACTACAGGGCAGTCTGCCCCAGGCTATTGTCCTATAGAGACATTTACTTCAACTCCCAGAATTCTTGGAAAGTGTTGCCAGTAGACTGACTGGAAGCTGAAGTTTAGCACATTCGGAAAGAACCAGCTTAGGCCACAGTAGTATTACAGGTGGTCCTTATTTAAAAATCACTTATTCAGCGATTGTTCTGAATAATAGTGCTGAATAACAAAGGGCAATTACAACTAGTCCTCACACTTAAGAGTCATAGTATCCCGGCAGTCATATGATCACAATCCAGGCACTCAACACCAGTGCACAATTATGTCACAGTATCCTGCAGCCATGTGATCACCATTTGCAACCTTCTTTGCAAGCTTCCTACAAATGAATGAGAAGCCAGCAGGAGGTCACAATTGTATAATAAGCATTATAACTATCACGTGACACCCTGGTTTAATGACCCACGCTTAACAATGGCAACTAGAAGTGCCAGATTTTCTGTTGCTAAATGCTATATTCACGTGACATTGCACTTGTTGACCAAGTCACTTAGTAGTAGATATCCCAGTCCCAATTACTATAGTTAATTGAGGACTACCTGTATATAAGAATGTTTTGTACAGTTTTACCACTTTCATACTCCGAGTTTGCAGGTCAATGCGTAGCAGGGATATGAATTTACCTTTTAAAAGCTCATTTTCCAGCTCCTCATTCCATGTTGACGTGCTGTCCATCACATGAGCGATGTTTGCATCAAGGCATTTATTTGTAGGTTCAGAGGGCAAAGAGGAGTTGCATGTCTGGGTCTATGAAGAAAACAGATGAAAAAAAAATTTTCAACCAAGCAAAGCTATTAAATACCTATCTCTTATTACAATTATCTTTTATGGTAATATTAATAGTACCCTGGCTAGAGGTAGCATTATTTCAATACTTATTCTATTTTTCAGATAAACTGCTTTAGTACACCTTAATTTAGCTCTAAACTCTTCAATTAAAGCAAATGATGCAAAAATTGACTACATCTGCAACAAATATGAGTAGAAATTTATAATTATGGTTTCTCTTAATTGCTGAAAAGCAATTTTCTGAATGAATAGGCATGCTCTTCTTGAATGGGAAAAAATCTTCTTGGATTTTTAAAATTAAATTAAAATATACAAATATCAATAATTTTTCTAAATAAATTCTTTCCTTATTTCTAGTACATAATTGAAAGAAAAATACCAATTCAGGTATATTGTAACACTGGGTCCAAGAACCAACAATATTTTGTTAACTGATTATAATCAAGAATCTTCATGGAATCTTGCTATATAGAACTTTGATCTTGTGGTTAAAGCACTATGAGAGAAAGCAGGAGACTGTGAGTACAAATCCAATCTTAGCCATAAAAGCCAGCTGGGTAACCTTGGGCCAGTCACTCTCTCATAGCACAACTCGCTTTACAAGGTTGTTGTTGTGGGGAAAATAGGAGGAAGGTATGTTGGATACGTTGAGTAGTTTGTAAAAATAATATAGGCAGGATACAAATAAATAAACAAGCAAGCAAGAAGCAAATAAGTATCGTATTCTTTAGCCTGATCAGGCTTAAAATAATAGATGGGTGGCTACAATATATGAGTTTAATTAATTAAAACCAGACCTGAGATAAAATATTGTGATGTGGAGTGATTTGGTTTAGCCATGCCTTCCTTCCTTCCTTCCTTCCTTCCTTCCTTCCTTCCTTCCTTCCTTCCTTCCTTCCTTCCTTCCTTCCTTCCTTCCTTCCTTCCTTCCCTCCCTCTCCTTTTATTATTTTTACAGATAACTCAAAGTGGTGAACACTTACACAATCTTTCTTCCTCCTCCTCCTTTCCCCCCTCAACAACTTTTGCTACATTTCAGTCTCCTACCCATGCTAACATTTTAAAGTCCCCCCATTTTTTAAAATTATTGATCTTCCCCCAAAGTCTTTTTTGTACAGATGATAGTATTCTAGTCAAATACACTACAAACCACACTGCACAATGACAACAGTATTAGAGGGATTTATCTTCAACTTCTAATCCCTGAGGCACAATTTCTCTGGATTAAAGGAGGGAATACACATCATAGTTATGTACATATGCAACATCTTCATCTGCTCTCAAAGCAACGTCTAGGTATCTTCCTTGCCATTACAGGCTACTTAAGTAATTAAATTTGCCCTGCTTTCCATTCTGTTTAGTCAGCAGAGTTTAGGACTCAAACTGCCCTGAACATGTCAATGTTCAGGAATTCTTCAGTGCCTGCACCTTACAGAAGACTTTAGCAGGCATAGCAAGAAGCAACAACGGTTGAAAGCCATCTCCCAGTTTCAACAAATACAATATTTTACTCATTTATTTAAAACACTAATACAGCCACTCATATTTCAGGCAACTCTGAGTGGCTCTCAAATCAACTATTAAAAGACATATAAAATCCCTCAAAACATTATAAAACCCAACCAATTTAAAACATAAAGTATTAAAAATTCAAAAACCTGGGGCCAATCCATGCTAACATGCCATCGTGTAATCTTTTCCCAATGCTGGAGGGAAAAGCCAGGTCTTTAAAAGTCTTACAAAAGGCCAAAAGGGTATAAAGCAGTGGTGGGATTCAGCTGGTTTGCACCACTTCAGCAGAACTGATAGCTAATTTTTTGTTGCCAAGGCCCAGAATGGACTTCTGGAAGTGGCATCCACACAGAGAACTGGTTGTTCACATATTTGAATCCCACCACTAGTATAAAGGTTGGCTAACTTCAAGGGGCAAGATGTTCCATAGGGCAGAATATAATTAAAAAATACTGGAATGTGCAGAAATGGATAGGTTAACGGTGAAAATTAAAGGAAAAGAAGAAATGGAATATTATATGACATGGGATTTATTTTACCAATGGTTAGTTGACAAAAACAGAGGTTAGAAAGGTGGAAATATGAGAATATGTGGCTTATATAAACAAGACTTTTAATGGATTAGCAAATAATTTGATTGTTACATAACTAATGTTAATGTGGGTAATACTATTTTTAATATTTTGATTGCTATTTCTTAGTATATGATTGTATCTTGATAAGATTATGGATGTGATGATTAGAATATCTTAATACTTGTATACCTAGACAACACACTGTTCAATATAGGAATGGAATTTTTTAAATAATAATAATAAATATATTTTTTAAAAAGGCTAGATATATTTTTTAAAAAATTAGTCATTGTATCATGAATATTATATGTTGGTGCCATAAGAAAACTCTTTTTGTACATCCTCTTTCTGCTGACATCACAACTTTTGGAATAGAAGATCTTAAGTTTGTGCATGAACTAATATTCACCACGGTATGTTAGTTCTAAACTTTAACCTTGTATTACATATTAAAAAGGGACTGGGAAATTGGATACAGAACTTATATTTTATTTTTAATTTTCTTTAAATGCTATCAATGAGAGTGAAATTCCTACAGGTAATTCTTGATTTAGAACCCTAACTGGAACCAGAATTTCCATTGCTAAGCAAGATGGTTGCTAAATGAATCATGCCCTATTTTATGACCTTCATTTTGCCTTGGTAAAGTGAATCACTGCAGTTGCTAAGTGAATCTCGCGATCATTAAACAAATTCAGCTTTCCCCATTGACTTTTCTTGTTGGAAGCCATCTGGGAAGGTTGCAAATGGTGATCACATGACCCCAGGATGCTGCAACCATTGTAAACACATGTTTGCTTGCCAAGCACCCGAATTTTGATCACATGACTGTAGGAATGCTGTAATAGTCCTAAGTGCAAGGATTGCTGTCAATCACTTTTTTCAATGCTGTTGTAACTTCAAATGGTCACTAAATGAATGCTTGTCAGTTGAAGACTACCTGTAACTACATCACTCAGCTGGGTTTCATAAAAGACAGGCACTGTACAATCAGTTTTTTTTTAATTTCATCTACTAAGAGCTATTCTGGTGTAGTGACTGATTGAATAGGATAAAGAATTCTGATCTTCACATAGCCATGAAACTCAGTGGGAATATTTAAACCCACGGAAAATATTTAAGTTTTCATCTAACTTACCACATGAAAAAGGATGAGGCAGACCACATTTATTCCACCCTTACCCCACAGAAGATACAAATGTAATAATAAAGTGTCTGCGCTCTGTACATTCAGAAACCAATAAGAACAATAATATGGCTCATACCCTTCCCACCAGGCATTAGAACCACCCATATTGTTACTTCCCAACTCAACGTCATCTTAGCTCAATGCTTGGGAGAAGAGCCAGATCTTCATGGCCTTCTGGAAAGCTAAAAGCATAGGTGGATGGGGAGCTGAATCTCAGATGGGACCTGTTTAAAAGATTTGGGGTGGCTATGAAGAACGCGTGAATCTGGGATCACACCAGATGGCAACGTTTGAGGAAAGGGACCTGGAGTATGCCCACTCTATGTGACCTAGTAGAATGGGCCAATACGAGCACTCCTTCCTGCTAATTTGGTCTCTTTCTTATCCTTTAAAGAAGTTTCAATAGGTTAAGGTCAAATTGGCAATGCTTTCCAATGTACTGTATTAAATGTGCAGTATTATCATGTCTTGATCATCACTAAGATTCTGAAAAACAAGGAAGCAAATATTAAATGAATAATATTGCTTCTAGTACTTGGATCATAAAACTGCTAAATGACTGACCGTTGCCATTTCTTCTGCTTTGAAGGATGTGTGGGCATCTGAAGTCATGTGGTCATATCTGTAAAGAAGAATTTGAAGCATTAATTTATCACTGCATGCATCAAGTCATGACAATCAGAATTGAAAACTATCTAATTGCCTGAATATCAAGAAACTTCACATTAAACCACCCTGATAAGAAAGTAAGATTCCATTGCAATCCTTAGCTTATCTTTTTGGAGTAAGTTTTATAATGCACAATGAGATATTAAAACAGGCATTTATAAAATTGAATTTCACATGAATTAAGAGTTTATTTTTCTTTTTCTTACTGGATTCATAGAAAACACTATTATGATTTGTTAAATAGCAATGCTTTATTAATTGAACATTAGTAGCTTAATTCATGCATGTAAGCCATAATACAACTTGATTTTGTTTAGCACTGTAGTCTATACATCTTAGCTATCACTGTAGCTATGTAAAGCTTCCTGCCATGGATATCATTATTTATTACATCTGTTTAATGATTCTGACATTTCTTAAGTCCAGAGGAATTTCAGGATATTTGCTAATGCCAACATACAAAAATCTCAACAACACTATTATGTTATAGCAGAGGTTCTCAACCGTGACAACTTTAAGACTTGTGGACTTCAGCTCCCAGAATTCCTCAGCCAGCTGGCTGAGGAATTCTGGGAGTTGAAGTCCACAAGTCTTAAAGTTGCCAAGGTTGAGAACCTGTGTTATAGTGTTATAGTGTATTGTTATAGTATTATAATAATTCATATTATATTATGAATTCACATTCTCTTCATTATGTCTTTATTCTAAAATGGAATAGGTTACTATGATGGTGACATGAAACAATTTTTAACATATTAAAAAGCAAACTATAATGCATTTATGCTGATTTGGAATAAAATAAATTATTACTACAATCTGGACTAGAATAATCCTGGTATAACCGTAATCTAAATTTTTGAAGAATATATATTATTCATATAGAATGATAGAGATGCTTACTTTAAATTCCTTCTGGATGCTGATCACATCTTTGTAACTGATTAATAATACATCTCTGTTCAAACTCTTTGTCTATCCAAAAATCCATGGCAACAAAGTTAACATGGATTTTACCATAGTTATGATGCATAATTATATTTAACCAAGAATAATTATTCCATCTGTGTATAGAAAAGTTATAGAAATATTACAAGCTAGGGATAGGTAAATAGCAGCCCTTGAGGAATGAGGCACAAAGTCCTTCAAATTCAAAACATTTCATATTTGAAACATTTGTAATGTTATTCTGACTGCTCTGGAAAAGTTTCAGGCTCCAAAACAGCAATAATTTAAGCTGGAAACACCTGTTTTTAATAGAAAACAGGTGCTTCAAACTAAAAGCATTTCTGGAATGACTGGAAGATTTCCAGTAACAGACAACCCATCCTGAACCTGCAACAATTGTGATGTTGAACCATTTCATGCTCAGGAAAAAAAAAACAGAGCATTTTGCATACATTCCTGTGTCCCTCTTTTGTGGCACTCACAGAGATTCTTTCTGAAAACAAAAGCAGTCCCTTGTCACGTGGACATAGAAAATACTATAGATGAAAACTGTATTGCAAGTCCTAAAATAGACATATCACATTTAAAATAAAACTTTCCCTAAAAGCCTTGAATTAGAAAGCAATTTTTGGGGCTCATCCACATTATAGCACTTATGAGGCCCACCCTCATTGCAATTTTTATCCAGGCTACCCTAATGGGAAGGCTAGCTAACAGGCAGGTAGCCAACAGGTAGGAATATGGATTTGCTGCACCACATTTAGCACAAATATATTCATGCCTCACTCAACAGGGTGCTAGAATTCCCAGAAAGCCTATAGACAACAGTGAAGTCTGCTGGATGTTACCATTTAAGGAGAATCTGGAAGGACACTAGGTGCCTCCTTTCCAATGGAAATTATGTGAATCCTTTTCTAAACAATACCTAAACATTGTGCAGTGGAAACTATCAAGCATTTCAAGATAATGCAACTTAGAAAGCCCTAAAATAATACTAATTTTTTTTAAGTTGGATTAATTAATTTCAAAAGGTCTTCAGCTAGATTGGGACTGTCTCACTACCTTCCTCTTTGGTTTTTATTCAGCAAAGTCTGCTTTTTGATATTTTAATCCTATAGAAATGGAATGATAAAAGTTTGGCAAGTCATGATATACAGCTCAAGAGGAGCAAAAGATGGTTATTTTGAGGTAAGTTTCGGGATCCATTTATTTATTAAGCACTCCCAGCAAACATTTTCCTGGTCTTTATATTTCTATTTTCTAGCTGGTTTTTTAATTCTTTCTAAAAGCACCTCATACTGATACTGGTACCTATCCACACAGACATATGTAGGATTGGCAGAATAAACTTTGACAGAGAAAAACAAACAAACAAACGCTGGCATGTATATCCAAAACACATGAAAGCTAAGTGTAAAACAACATGTTGCAGAATGGAATTTGAATACTCAGGGTTCCAGTCATTCTTTTTAATGTCTTCCACTTTTTTCAAGCATTATCCCTTTTTAACTTCCATAACGCAATTGGCAAGCCCAATTCCCAAAAATTGTTCCACACTACTTCTGATTTTCCCATCCTGCTAAATAGTTATTTAAACTTCTGCAAAATTTGGTGTTCTTACAATACAGGCAGTCCTTGATTTATGACCCCAATTGAACCCAAAATTTTTGTGGCTGAATGAGACATTAATTAAGCAAATTTTGCCCCATTTTACAAACCATTCTTCCCACAGTTAAGTGAATCACCGCAGTTGTTAAGTTAGTAACAACGTTGCTAAATGAATCTGGCTTCCCCATTGACTTTGCTTGTCTCAGAAGGTGATCACATGACCCTGGGACACTGCAACCGTCATAAATAGGAGTCAGTTGCCAAGCGTCTGAATTCTGATCATGTGTCCATGGGCATGCTGCAACACGTGTGAAAAACGGTCATAAGTCATTTTTTTCAATGCTGTTGTAACTTTGAACTGTCACTAAATGAACTGTTATAAGTCAATGACTATCTGTATACTTCTCTAAAGGAAATTATACACAAACCATAACTCTCCCCACTTAATGGGAAGTTACAAATATATACTTCCCCCACCCCCAGGAATACAGTTTGACTGTCTAATATGGTTTGCTCTCTAGACTCGTTTTTACAATCTTTGCTTTTTTGTTCGGAAACTAATACAAATCCTTGAAAATTTGCGAGTGGAATATAGATTAGATCCCTTTAACAGGGAGGTATTTGAGGCCGAGTAAATGATTCAACATTTAAACTTATTGCTTCTGTGGCTTTTCTGTAGATCAATAGTTAGAGATATTGATGGCCTCAGTTGGTATGAGTTGTGGCAAGCAAATTACAAATATTAAATATTAAAACTCTTGTGAACCTTTTTATAACTGCTTTTCAGAAACTACACTAAGAAGCTCTGCCTTAAATCACCCAGGCTGTCCAAATAATTCAGCTTCTTGCTTCCCCTGTGGTCAAGAAAATGTCCTTTTAGCCATTTCCCAGAGAGAGAAATTCATTTCTGAATTTTTACTCATCTCATGGCTATTAGAAGGCAGAAAAAAATCTTTAATTCCTCACAGTGGGAAGTTATACATTCCTAACATTAAAAATAATAAATCAATTATTAACTGGATATTAATTCAACATCTGGCTAATCCCAGTCAGTTTATCCAGGCAGAACACAGGTTAAATCCAATAAAACTGCTGGGATCTTTCAGACCTGTCAGGATAAGCAGCTGTGAAAATTGCTTATAACATGATTGCTTTTAATACTGTTTTACTTGGAGCTGTTGATCTATCCAAGCTGGTGAAATGAAATTAACAAGAGTAATGAATTTAATCTCATCCTGCAATCTTTAAGTCTATAGAAATGTTCATTGCCTAATTTTTCTTTCATGCATCTGCTAACTGTCGAGAGAGAGAGAGAGAGAGAGAGAGAGAGAGAGAGAGAGAGAGAGAGAGAGAGAGAGAGAGACCATACTCACAGAAGAGGGGGGAAATAACAACAATAGCATCTACACTGACATTGCCAGCACAACTATACTTGCCGTAAACATTATCAATATAAAGTTACTGGACTAATCTATTCTTTAATTTCACTAGCTATTTTAAAATGCATCAAGGAAATTAACTGGGAATGCTACCTTTTCCTGATGGCTCTTTACTTAAATACAAACCCAAATAAGAAAAACCAATAGATGCCATGGTTTTAGAGAGCATAAAGGATAAGGAACAGAATCAAGAAAGAAGTAAAACTGAGGGGAGAGAGAAATGTAACCAAACTAAACACAAAGGACACTCCTCCCCCCCTTCAGTGCCATCCGATGATTAATTTAATTTCATAGTAAACAAAGTGAAATGAAGCACATTGCTAAACGGAGCAAAGTAGGACAAGCGGGAGTTCTAGTTAAAATTCCCTGCAATCTGCAGACCATAGTTAGTTTTCGTCTGAAGGTGCACTTTCTCCCGCCCACCCTTCCGCGTTGAAAGGGGTTTTGCTTACCACGTCAACACTTTCCTTGCCAGTAACAGTTTGTCTTGCCACTCACATGGTTGTTTCTTTTTTCTTACTTGCACTTTGCCTTTCAAAGCGAAACCTTTCAGGGCTCTTTCGGTGGTTTGCAATTCACACTTTAAACCCCTCGCAACCCCTTCTTCGCCAGCGCCTCTTCGTCCTTCGGAAGCCAATTGTGTATTCACGGAAGCTCACTATTATGCTCCAGCAGCAAGTATAAACTGGCTTGCTGGCATGCTTGGGGTGTCTGAATGAATTTTCCCTCCCAGACTGCTTTGTCATTTATTTGTAATGTGCTCGCAGGCAGGGAAGAACAAGTTGAAAGGTCCAAGTGCCTGCAATATTTCTTTTTTTGCGGGGGAACACTGATGGACAGATAGAAAAACCCGGCTAGGTTTTTTACACCTGCAGATCTGTGGTTTCAGCCAAACATTTTACAGCTGCCCGTTTATTCCTAAGCTTCTCAGACAGAAAATCAAAAGCTTAAGTTTTCTTTTCATCCCTAAGATTCCCTTCATGTAAGATCTGTTTAAATGCAGCAGCCCTGGTACTCCTAGAAAATGGAGGAACCCTGCCCCAAAATAAGGTTCAGGACAGGTAGTCCTCGGCTTACAACCATTCGTTTAGTGACCGTTCGAAGTTACAACGGCACTGAAAAAAGTGACTTATGGTCATTTTTCATACTTAAAAGAGTTGCAGCATCCCTATGGTCACCAAATCAAAGTTCGGACGCTTGGCAACAGACTCATATTTATGACGGTTACAGTGTCCAGAGGTCATGTGATCACCTTTTGCGACTTTCTGATAAGCAAAGTCAATGGGGAAGCCAGGTTCACTTAACAAATGTGTTAGTAACTTCACAACTGCAGTGATTCACTTACCACCGGTGGCAAGAAAAGTCCTAAAATGGGGCAAAACTCACTTAACACTTAGCACCTGAAATTTTGGGGTCAACTGTGGTCATAAGTCAAGGAGTACCTGTACTTAAGTCAGTAAAATACATTCATCTTATGATGACCTCAAGAAATATGTTTCCAGCTCCCCAACCCTGAATTATTATACTGAGTTATTGACATCCAACAGACAAAAGTGCATGGCAAAAGATGGAGTAAGAAATGATTATGGACTTCGCCAAAGGCTTGAAGATGAGCTTCTACTTTCCAGGCACAAGTCTCAGGTTCAGCTTTCAGTCTGGCTTCTCTACAAGAAAGTAGCAGATAACAGGCAAAGGGCCAAGATCCCTGGAGAATTGGTCTCAGAGACCATTTTGAGTTAGATGGACAGGATGGATAGATTGGTATTGAGGGTTTCTGGAGTCAAGGCTACTAATGTTCCTCTCAGAATAAGAGAGTTGGAAGGACCCTGGAGGTCTTCTAATTCAACCCCCTGCTCAGGCAGGAAGCCCTATACCAGGGGTAGTCAACCTTGGCTCTTTTATGACTCGTGGACTTCAACTCCCAGAATTCCTGAGCCAGCTAAGCTGGCTCAGGAATTCTGGGAATTGAAGTCCACGAGTCATAAAAGAGCCAAGGTTGACTACCCCTGCTCTATACCTTTTCAGAAAAATGGTTGTCCAATCTCATCTTTAAAACGTCCAGTGATGGAGCACCCACAGCTTCTGAAACTTGTTTTACACAGGTACCACAGTGACATTCCACCAACAATTCACTGAGACGTTCCTGAGAACAGTTTCTCCTCTGACCAGGGCTGTATGTTTGAAAGAATGCAGGCTGCAGCAATCTCCGCCACTTCTATTAAAGCAAGAACCTTGGCATGAACTGCCTAGGGTCTTCCTTTCTGCCTAACTCACTGCAGCTCCCCTAATTCCCTCTTCCATTCATTTTGAATGAATGTGGCAGGAAATCTACCTTCCTCTGGGTTTAGTCTTCCTACTTTCAGAGAACATTACAGATTATTCCAGTAATGTGATGGATCAAGTGAGGGCTATCAGGAATCCTGTTTCCAATGCCAGAAGCCAGGAAACAGGTGCCAGTTTCCTACTCCCCAGGTTGATAGCAAAACAGAAACTACGATTGCTGTTCCTGAGTCAATCAATACCTAGGAAGTTTTTCAGCAGATCAAACAAACTAAAGACTCCCAGGCTTCAAGGCCTGTGCCACCCATCAATTACTTTAATAGCAAACTGAGGTCAGGAGAGCCAAAATAAGCACAACCCAAATGGCATTATTGAAGAAACAATAACAATTCAGTGGAATGCTAAGGCTCAGGGAAGTACAAAGCTTTTTTAAAAAAGACCTTTATGGGATAATGATGCCTTTGCTCCCAAATTAAACAGAAACCTATGAAGATTTACAATGCCCAGTACATTGCAGCAGAATAGTGAATATTTATCTTGGAACACACAGTATTTTCTTGAAGAAGGAATAGTGTATTTTCAAAATAAAAATAAGAATATAAAGATCTGTCATCATATTCATGTCCTTTCAGCCACATAAACTATCCTCATATTTTTTCAAAGCATAAAATAAGGCTACTTGGATGATTAATATCAGTACTAATGCAGAGCCCAGAAAACAGCTGATTTCCTTAGATTTGCTTTCACTGCGTGACCTCTGTCAAGGACTACAGGTAATCCTTGACTTATCACTATTTGTTTAGTAACCATTCAAAGTTATAATGCCATTGAAAAAGTGACTTACAACAACTTGTCATGCTCACAACATCCATATGGTCATGTAATAAAATTTTGAGCAATTGTCATAAATACATGCTAGTTGCCAATTGCAATGTCCTGGGATCATGTGATTGCCATTTGCAACCTTCCCAGCCAGCTTCCAACAAGCAAAGTCAATGGGGGAAGCTATGTTCACTTAACAATCATGTGATTCACATAATAATTGCAGTGATTTACTTAACATCCATGGTAAAAATGGTCATAAAATTGAGTATGACTTACTTAACAGTCACCATACCTAGCAACATAAATCTGGGTCCCAACTGTTGTTATTAAGTTGAGGACTACCTGTACTATGTAATCATGGATCTCTACCAGACATCTACTTTGACTTCTACCCTGGCTGTATCACATTGCAGAATTGCATGCTAAATAATCAAAACTGGCCACCATCATCCCAGATTGATCTGACACAGGCAAATTAAGATTTTCTACAAAGTGGAATTTGAAAGCCATTTCAAATTTATCTTATCTGCCCCTCCTCTAAGAATTATTTTCCTACCGGTTTTACCTAGAATTATACAATTAGAAAAGCCATTTAGGGCGAGGTCAACATTCTACTCAACCCAACAAACTAAATTAAGGTTTTCTAGACAAATGTCTATTTAGTCTCTACTAGAAACACATCTAGTGAAGCAGAACTCATCACCTCTCTGTAATTACCTCCATTATCAAATTGATCTGAATATTAGGATGTTTGCTTAATGTTCAACATGAATTTCCAACACCAGACAAACGATCAAGCAGAAAACAATACTCAAGCAAGGAACTACCAAGGAGAAAACCATATCCCCAACAACATTAGAAGGGCAAGCTTACCATATATGCAAACAAGAAGCAAAACCCACACTTACCGGCACTTACGATGCTACAAGCAAACAACCAAGCTCAGAAAGCACCAAGGATTTGCTTCCTATAATATATGATAATTTTTCTTATTGCAGAAAAGTTCTGAGTCCTTTCTAAAAGGTTTACACCCTTTAGAAAGGACTCACCCTCCCCTGCTTATAAGGAATTTTCTTTAAGAAATAAAACAGACTCATGTTAGCTGCCTTGGCCAATTAGAGGCAGAACAATGAAAAAAAAATCCCTCTAAGACAAAGTGGTAAAATAAGAAATTAAGAATAGTTTTTTTTCAGTTGTGCTATTTCTCCTTTATATGAAAAACAATCTAAAATCTACACTGCAGATTTTGCCTATTTATATATATTGGGGAAAATTTAAAACTTTAGAGATTGTTTACTATGCATGGTTTTTCTGCCGTCTTGGAAATAGCCATTTTAAAAACCAAACCAAACCAAACCCTTATGAAGAGAAATATTTACAACCTATTTCTAATTCAGCCTTCCTCAGTTTTACAGATTGTGGACTTCAGTGCCCAGAAATCTCAGGATGGCCAAAGCCATTTATTTCATTCAATTTTATATCCCTACGGAGCACAACACAAAATATGAACATCCAACATAGTTATTATTGCACCATTTGATTCATGACAGTATCAAGAGACCCTTTACACTGGCATCCTTATGATATTTCCTTTCAGAATCCTTTGCAAATAATCCTTCATTTGTGCCCCAACACTTTCATGGTACTCTCTTCTGAACTCTCTTTTGTAAGTGTTTTAAAACTAAAGTCCTGTTTGTCAGGGAGCAAATATTTAATGACAGGGAATCCAAGAATATCTTAGCTACCCTTCTATTTGAGGGCATCCTGTGCTATTATGAACTTGCCTCTCTCTCACACTTTTGGTAGATTGAAATGCATAAGCTTGTCTGCCACTTTCCCCAAAAGAAAAATTAAGAAAACAACAAAACAAAGCAAAACCCAACCCAGCACATGTTTTGTTTGCTCTGAAAGAGAATTGATAATACATAAGTTGGCAAGTGTAATGTGGTCATGGTGAATAAAATGAGATGGTTTGGGGCTGGTTCAAGAATTGCAACCGGTAGGTACAAAACACAGGATTAGAAGTAACACCCTCTTTTAGGACTGAATTTTGTGCAGTTTCAGTTAGAAGAATGAAAGTGGTTTAGAAACGCTATGTAAACAATATCAGCGAAATAAATAGAAGTCCCACTAATATACAGCCCAGAAACACTAGTAGTAATAACAACAACAATCAAAATAACCACTCACAGTCTAGGAGGTCCATTCTCTATTGACCCATTAATCCTCATGCCCATTTTAATACATTAATAGTGGGGTGCAGATCTTATTTCTCAGGATAAGTGATTCCACAGGAGGAATCTATAAGAGGAATTATCAAATAATAACAACATTTAACAACTTTATAGGGTCAGCTCTACCTTATTTTGACAGCTTTGTTCAGATTTTTTGTTTTCTGGGTATTCTCTTGCTGACTTCTTAGATAAAACTAGACACAGAGAACTTAGTGGCCAAGATTGCCTACTTTTGCATGTGTGTGTGTGTGTGTGTGTGTGTGTGTGTGTGTGTGTGTGTGTAATAACAGATCTGTTGAGATTCTGGTCACAAATCTGGGAACAAAAGTTTACATTTTCTTTGTATGCCAATCTCTCCAATTCATACGCACAATCTC